AATAAAATAAGAATTATTTTTTTAAATATTATTTAAAACTCGTAACTGACTTATATAAAAGGAATATATAACTGGTAAGGGGAACAATTCTTTAATTATACTTATTATATTTTTTTTTACCCTTAATTTCAACAATACCATATTTCAAAACTCTTCTTCATTACTTTTTTAAGTACGCATCTCATAGAAATTGCTTTACAATACCTTTTAACAGATTGCTTTCCAGTACGAACAATTCTTGCTTAAATAGTTTTATAAGGTATTTGTCAATCAATTTATGTTTACAATTTAATGTTAAGGTTATTATATAATTAGATAATATTTTTAATCATTATAAATTTAGATGCATTCAATAATTAGATTTCTTCACAGTAACTTTCACAGTTATTTATGAATGAATAAATCCTTCATTTCAAATACATTTATAAATAATTTAATAAATATTTACGTATTTTGTTAAAGGCAGATACATGCTTTTTGGAAGCACATGCATAAATACCCATACATATTTCATATTTTTCATTTCCGGCATGTGGAAATCTTTAATTTCTGTGCATTCACTATAGTTTTCGAGTAAAGTAATTTATGCTAATTTTAAAAAGTACATGTTACAATAATATGTGGATGTGAAAAAAATTATTTTATTTAAAACATTTTGGCGTTTGGAACATAAAATAAAAGTAGCGAATACTGTATCAAAGGTATCGAAAAATGTATACAATTTTAAAGGTACAGTTATCAGGACTTGTGTTCCTCTTTACTTGCCTTGGAAACATGAACTGTCCTGACTCGGAACAGGGAGCTTACTAAAGCTATGTTCAATAAATTGTGAAGTAGACAATACACACAGGAAGGGTATACGAAACCCTTTATTTTTCTATCTTTACAGAGATTTCCGGACCTTCGGAATACAGAGACCAACCACTTGTGGTCTGAACGTAAGAATATAAAAAATACTAACTAAAAACTAAAACTAACTTTGGATTAATATACAAGTGCCTGACTTCAAGATTGGCCGTTATTTAACAAAAATTCCGTATGTAGTACAGAGAGCTGCTAAAACTACGATAGGTTTGAACTATCAAGAGGATTAAACCTCTGGCCTTGAAGGCAACCAACAACCGAGTAAAACTACTATGGCAAGCGGCCTGCTTCTAATAACTCCTTCCTCTCTCTTGCTTGGCAAAAAGCCTCAACTTAAGTACTTGGCGTTAGCAAGATAAATTTGCATAAATAAGTTACAGCTTTTAATTCTGGCCGGAAGTAGAAAATAAGAAGTGATAGTAAAGATTTAAAATAAAATAAACGTTAGTAAAACTTAGGATCCTTACACAGTGAGGTATTTTTCATTCTTTAAGCATAACTCTTTTGCTAAATTTATATTTTGTAGTTCAACAGCTTAGAATTTTATAAAACAAATTCATAATCAAAATCGCTGTTGTTAGTTATCGAAAAATAACCGAGATGTGATTTTTGCGTAAATGTCGCTAAACTATACAAATTGCTATCATACTAGGAATGTTTCTTTTATGCGGAAGTGTCCCGTTTTCGATTTGTATAGAACTGTCGTGTGTCGAAATACTATCAGAGCGCTGTCAAGCGAGCTTCTGAATGTAAGCAAAAAACACCCATGGACCTTATAAGAGATAGACTAACCCAGTGGGCGGGGCGCGCGTCACCGACATTTTGGCAAGAAAGAGTAGGGACGATCTGGTTTACTTTAATACTGAAACCTATGGCGTTTGTATCACATAACTCTTTTTAATTATTAAATGTGATATGTTGTATAGTAATGAGATTATGAAAGCCACAGTTTTTTCCAAATAGGATTTAATATATCTCATTAAAGCTCATTTTACTGCATTTCGCGCATTTTTTTTCACGCGTAATTCTTGTACAAACACCTTTACTTTGATTAAGACACAGTAACACGCCGAAGAAATACTAATTCAGAAGTCAAACAACGAAAAATCAGCTTTTTGTTTTCAAATTTTCACAGGACTAGTTTCGATGGTTTTACCGAACCCCCATCCTCAGCTGCAAAAACGCAAATGAATCACACTTTCAATTTTTTGCTGCCAAAATTATTCAAAAAACATCTTCCATTGGAGAACTAGATTTTCTAGAGGCATTTCACATTCAAAAAAATCTTTCTGTTCTAGTTAACGATCCTAATTCCAATCCATCTTTGTCTTCGGCCTTTAAAGAAATTATGTTTTAGTTCTGGTTTCATCGAGAGATGGCGCCACTAGCTTATTTTCTGTCCAGGCTTTCTTATCTTATCTGATCATTATATCCTATCTCGTTCATATTGTTTTTGCAGCTGAGGATGGTGGTTCGGTAAAACCATCGAAACTAGTCTTGTGAAAATTTGAAAACATAACGCTGATTTTTCGGTGTTTGACTTCTGTATTAATCTTTACATTGGTAAAACGGTAAAAACTCTAGGCACAAAATTTATGGACTTAATTTTGCGTACAAATAACGTAAAATTAAATAAGATTGATAGTACGTGATGTTTGAAATAAAAAAAGTAAAATTAAACAAGATCTGATAACTTTTTTTTTAAATTTCATGACCATTTTCAGCCAGTGATTTTCAGAACTATAATAACAATGCCAAACAATCATTTATTTGATTATACCATCATTAACTTATTAACATTGAAGTGGAATATTTATTTTAGTAATTTATAAAATTGGGAGCATAAAATTTTCTAAGTGTAATAAAGGGTTAAAAAAAAAAAAAAAAAAAAAAGGTAAAATAAAATATAGAAGCACTCAGATTTTATATCACGCCCAAAAGGAAACTTTTTTTAACGTTTTGTGTGTTACCTGTATTTATTAAATATCATGTATTTCGCCCACAAACCACAGACATTTGAAAACAAAATATCTTTAGAATTTCCGCATTGGAGATAAAACTCTTATTTTCCGTACAGTGCTCTCTCTGAACTCGTTGAGTTTGTTAATCAAAAATTAGTTAAAGTTTTACAAAATATGAAATAGATTGAAACAAATTCGAAATTCAGGCGTCCAGATGCCCATGTTCGGGTGGAGGATTACATTATTCAAAATTTGAGAATAATTCGCAAGTAATAATTATCAGTTCCAAAGACGAAGTCAATCTATATACATGATAATGTTCAGGAAATGATTAGATGAAATAGGAAATTAAATGATGGTTCTAATTGCAAGCGAGGACGAGTAATAGTTAAAAAAATTTAGTGTATTGACAAAAAGGCTACAGAAATTAATTAAATTATTTTATTTAACAGAGAAACTTTTATGCAAACTTAGACCCTAGTCTTATAGCATTGGACTGTCAGAATTTATTATTCAATAAGAAAACTTAGTGAAAATTATAATATTCTTATATATTTATCACTTTTTCAGTATCCACTCATGTTTATAGGTTAAAATGCCATATTAAATATCAAAGTTATTTATGAAATAAAAACCTTATAAAATGTGATAAATCATTTGTGTGTGCAAATTTTTAAATCTAAATCTCTTACATTAAATTATTTCTGTCTTTTAAATTACATCCCATTATTTATTTCAATTTAATTGATTAATGTGTTTGTACTAATATTTCAATTTAATTTTGAAGCACTTTTTGTGTCCTGAAAATGCCAAGTATTTCCATAAAAAAAATAAGCAGGCATACAGAATAATTCATTTAATAGTTCATATAATCGCTTTTAACTACTTATTTCATGTCTAAATTTTTCTACACAGAAATCCGCTGTCTAATTTTTAGTATCGTTTATCGGACGAAATTTTTCAAGAAATGAATTAATAGCTTTATTGAGCAAAACACATCCTTAAAGCTAAACGTATTCTAAGAAGTACAAAAACTGTCAACTCGATTTTGCCCCCCCTTTCAAATCAGTCATTTAAACTTCAAACCGTTCAGGAAAAGGATAAACATCGCGAACATAAAAATCTGCCCTTTTTTATATATACTTTAATAAAAGTAAATGTGTTCCTTCTTTTTATAAGAAAAGGAACCCATTTTCCTTTCTAAACTTTTGAAAGTAGCCAACGCTTAAAAAATGATAAACTACGCCAAGGTAGAAACCCGCCTTTGACAACTCAATGCGCATGCGTGGTTAATGTTGGTGCGAGTAGCTTAAGCGGCTAATCGCACCGGTGGTGCGAATAGCATCGGCCGGATTAAACACAACTTGATAGGAATTAATCACATGAACAATTAACTTAATAAAGATGCTCCCAACCAAAGTGATATTTAATTTTTTTAATTTATATATATTACCAACTGCTAAAAGTACTCTACAGTATTCTGGAATTTCGGTATTTCACGGAAGACAAGAAAACGACATCGCTAACACTTGTCCTGAAGCTGCATAAGGCGACTGTACTTTCTACACCAGTGGGTCAAATCAGTCGGTTGGTATCAGTTAGGCAGAGCCGTTTTCTTAAATATTTTTAGTTCAGTCAGATTGTCAAAATAAATTTGGGCAATCAATAGGTTGTTCTGCGCTGTTCAATTTAAACTGTAATATTTATTTGGACTATTTATCACCGTTTAATTAATAGCTAATTATCACTCTTTAATTAGGGAACCGAGTGACAAAGTATTTGAATCCTTCCACAGCTTAACACCAAACATTCATTAAATAAATACTTGACTATATATAGATTATACACTCTCTCAGCTAAGTAACCCTTACATATAAACAATTAGATCAGGGATTCTCAACCGGTGGTACGCAAGAGAATCTCAAACACTCCCTAAATTTATGCGATCTGAGCTTTGTTCAAGAGTGGTGGTACTAAAGGTTTTCAATTTTTTTAGATGGTACGCGTTGGTCAAAAGGTTGAGAACCGCTGAATAAGACAATTCTTTTGCAGGTGTTAATTCTCTGGTATTAAAGATCTCAAGTTAGCCTTTCAAGTTCCTTAACTGGTAGAGAGGCAGCGCCCTCTTCTGACGTATGTATAAAAACTTGACAAGAACGATCGTTACATTTCTGTATAGCGTAATCTTCATCGATTCTACTGGATGCACATGTGTATAAACTTTTAAAAACATGAGTGATTCAAAAAGTGAAGACACAGGTTTCGTTTTAAATCTGTCAGAAGATAGAGATAAAAAGAAAAAAAATGATAAAGTTAATATTGAGGTTAGTATTTTTTATTTCTTCCCCCCCAAAAAAGATCCTTTTCTTTAAAAACACCTGTTTTTCTTGAAATGCAAGCTTTTTATGAACTTGTATGACTAGTAATTTAAATTGATTTTTTTTAAAAATCGGAAATTGGCATATTCTCCTTTAATTAAAGTAACTGTTGTTAGCCCTGCATGCATTTTTCGTCGACAGGGGCAGAGACTTTAGGTAATATTTAGTAAACTATAAAACTTTGAGTAAAACATGACAGATTTTCAGGCAGATTATTTAATATTGGCAAAGATGCTTTTACAAGTATCTTTAATTAATGTGTCCTGAGATAAATTTTTTCCTTAAAATTATGAATAAAAATAAGAAAAAATGCATGATACTATATAAAAAAATGCCTATGGCCTAAGAATGCCTAAATTTTCAATAGCAAGTACCTTTGCCATATAAATTTCCAATGGCAAGATTTGCATTTTAAAATTTCATAAATGTGGCAAGCAGTAAAACTCTTTTGCTGTTATGATAGGAGTGGTTGGAATGTAAATGATCTTTTTTCCCATAGATTTTTAAATTACATAAGCAGTTTTTAATTCTTGCCGAATAAATTGCTAGCATGAAATCTTAATTGAAATAGAATTATTTACATAAGAAAATAAGTTATTCGTTATTTTTTTGTGTGTGTGTGGATCATCTCATAAAAAAAAAAAAAAAAAAAAAAAAAAAAACAACAACATATTTTAATTTTTACTTCATTGATTCTGAATCAAATTTCATCTCAGTTTGTTAATTATTAGATTTATTTTAAATTCATTTTAATTTCTTTAGTCTTCTTTCTAGTATCTTCTTCATGATTTTCAGTATAATTATTCGAAATGTTATTTTTATATTTATGTCTTAATCTTAAAGTATGCATTCTTTTTTAGTTAATGTGAAAATTTTTTTCTTGTGCACGTGTTGTAAAAATATGATTAATAATATTGAAAATTAAAGCAAATTTATGTTAAAATTTGCTTTTTTGTTAAAATTCATGTTCCAAAATATTCTTTATATCAGATTATAACTATTTTTATTACTATAACAAACTGCTGGTGAGCAAAAAATATGTGTATTTACAAAGGATATTATTTAACAAGAATGTAATAATGCTGGTGTACAATGAAAACGTTTAATGTTTAATTGAAGTATTAACAGAATCTGAGAGCACTATTAAATTTTGTGAATTTCTGATAACATTGAAAATATTTTGGATAAAGTTTTTGCTATATGTAATTAGCTATATGTAAGAGAAAATTAGTATTTGTGGATACATTTTCTATTAATAGTTAAATTATTCTTTTATTGGAGTTAGATGTAAAGAACTTTTTATATCTCTTTACTCCTGTCTTTACAGAGTCCAGATGTGAAAACTAATTCATCTTTTATTGAAGATTCAGATACATCTCCATCATATGCATTTAAACTGAAAAATAAATCCAAGTTCTTAAAGAAACAGACTTTATTTTCAAAATCTCATAATACATTTCCAAAATCTATTGATGCAAAGCAAAAACTTGGACATGATAATCTCCATTTTTCATCAATTTTCAAAAGTAATCCAGAAATCCCACATTTAAATGTGTAAGTCATATTTGTTTTTTTTTGTATGTATCTTGTTGATAGATGCATTTATAATATAAAAGCCCTTTTGTAAATATATTTAACCATGTCTTTTATGATTAATCTTCAGAATATTGTATTTTATATAAATGATTGATAAATTATAAAAAATAATTTTATTCTTTATGTTGATGCTTTTGTGGTTTCTTTGAGTGCATATTAAAACCGCTTGCATCCATGAAACACCAAGTATTTTCTTTGATGTGTTATATATGTTTTTTTTCCCCCTGTGAGTTTCTAGGGTTTGAGAAATAATAATAAAAGAGCTCTTGAGTTTTCTTCAGAATTTTAGAATATTGTCAGACAATCAAGGATACTGTAATTCTTATTCAATGAAACTATACATCAATAAAGAAAATGTGTAGTGAAATATAGCATTGAATGCACGCAGACATTATAAAGAGAATAGGCAATGTATTTAAATGCAGTCAGGGTCACATTTCCAACATAGTTATCTGCCATATCACAGTAGAATTTCAACCAACATATTCAAATCATTGCCAAAGTTAAGAACCCAAATCCCTGGTACTTAGAATCTCAAACAAACTACCCAAATCATTGCCAAAGTCGACACCATCCTAGCGTCTTAGTAGCACATGAGATAGAGTATCCACATTCCCAGTTAAGAGATTATAAGTGACAAATTTCATTGTTATTAAATACTTTTTATCAGTGCTTTAAACTACTAGCATAGCTGCTGCTTTATATATTTTTTTAAACTCAAAATGTACATTCAGCAGTATGACTTGATTTACTTATATTTCTGGCATATTTCTGAAAGAGAATCAGAATGCATACAAGTGCACCTGAGATAACGAATTTTGTAATTAATGGATTTTTAAAGAAATGTGGAGAAGCGTTAATAAATGAAGATGATAGAAAAGAAGTTTTGATATCATAAATGGCAAAATCTGTAGTATGGTTCTAGATCCAGAAAATACTGCTACCGCTAATGAAGAAAGTGACTGAAAACAAGAAAATTTCGATTGACAAGTTTGTCGGAATTCTCGAAACAGCAGTTACAGGACTTCAACAATGTAACTAAACAAGAGATTATGTCAGTCTGCAGAGTTAAAGAGAAAGTATTAGCACAAAAAACAAAGCAACTTAAAACAACTTACATTGAAAGAAATATTTAATAAGCTAAATAAATAAATATTAAGCTTTTTTTTGAAAATTTTAATACCCTTTAGATCATAAATACTTCATTATTTCATAAACTGCGATTTCATATTTTTAATTTTATAATTTCTACATGCCATCTTACTAGATTTAAACTGATGATCTATTATCCGGAAAAATCCAAAATCGCCGAAGTCCCGGCAAGTCCGGATTTCGGACTTTGAACTGTACTTGGCAGTTGCAAATTGATAACGTCTCTCTTATTAAATTCTTTCTAGAGGTGGAAAGACATATAGTGAAAGACTTTTGTTCAAATAACCGCAAAGATATTTTTGCCTTGGATTTTGAATATATCATTAGGATTACTGTTATTATTTCAGGCTATATTTTGCATCAGTATTTACCTTTAGTGATGATTCCTTGCTCCTTATGAAAAAAGGGGCCGTAATTTATAATTTTTACTATAACTAGACTTATAAAAGGTAATTTTTATCACATCAGAAATGCAAGTATTTATGAAAATTTAATTTAAAACAACAAAACCATGTGACTGATTAGGAGAAATAATTCTGTGTAACATGACAGGATAGAAACCAAGATTACTGCATCCTAAAATTTTAAAGCAAATTAATGTAAATAAATATGTAAAAAAAGTGTAATTATTTCCTCTGAGTTTTATTTCTCTGTCTCTATTTTGTGTCTTATTTGTATTTTATTGCCTAAGTTTTTAAGGTTTAAGTGTTTTTCCTTTATTTTTTTTCGGGGGGGGGGAGGATAAGGTAATCACCAAGTAGAAAAAGTTTCTGTATATGTATCTAAATTTAGAAATTAAATCATAATAACCCTTACTTAAAAGAAAATATGGCACAAAGCATTTCATGTCATTTTTCAGTATTACAAGAAAGTTTAAAGTACATCAAATATTTTATATATATATATATATTTTAAATTTAAAGTAACGATAATGAGTCAACATTTGAGTTACCTTTACAGATTCTTTTTTATTATGTGCTGAATTTTCATTTATTTTATCTTTATTGCTGTATGTTGTTTTAATATTTCTGAAATCCAAAAAATTAAAAAAAATTAGTATATTTTATAAAACTGATATATATTTTTTATATATATTTTCATACAGCTGTAAACAGAAAGCCAAAGCAGAACCCTTGTTTTTCTACAAAAACTTTTGATGATTTAGATCTTCATCCACATTTAGTAAGTTGATACTCTTAAGTTTTTGTTAATTTAATTTATTTAATCAGTTTATTTAAAAAAAATTCTTTTATAAGAAAGTTAATTCAATTTAAAAAATACAATAATTTTGTTTCATATTTTGTTCAAGATTTTGCTTGTTACAAGGTCGCTTGGTAAGATTTTGAATTGTTATAAGGCATTAAAACAACAAGATTCAGTTTTTAATATCATCAATACATATTGACATAACTGAATCTAATTGAAATATGGGTACGTTTTGAGGAATGTAAAAAAATTGCAGCAAAAATGTATGCTCAAAAGCGCCAAATCTAGCAAACGTGCCCATTTAACAATGCCCCAAATATAGCGTACGCACTGATTTCAGATTGCGTAAGTTTATATAGCTCTATATTTTTTAAGACGCCATTGAAATACTAGTTTAATTTTTAAATCCTTTTTTGATTTTAAATCTTTTTTTGATATCCTATGGATTTAACAATTTGGGAATTGCCCATTACGATAAGTCTGCAAAAGAATTTTGGGTAAAGTGCAATTGCACATACTTGGTATCCACGTACACAGCAACCTATTTTCTTAAAAAAAAAAAAAAAAAAATCCCAGAATTGCACAAAAATGGCACTGCGGACACCCTTGACTTTATCTGTGTACACATCGACGTATTTTCACTTAAAAAGTAAAAGAAAATTGACAAAAATCCAATTGTTTTTATTATTGTAAAAAGCGGCAAACAAATAAGTGGGCAATTCTGCATGTCACTGAGAATTTTTTCAAAAAAAAAAAGCTTCATTCATTATAGAAAATTATGTTTGAACAACCAATGAGATGAAATTATGCTTTACGATAACTCGGTAACGAAATAGCGATGCAGGCATCCATTCAGTTATGTTTAGTAATTTTTATATAAATTATAATAATGATCTGAAATAGTTATTTACTCTTATGCTTCCATTCAGTCATGTTTAGCCTTTTTTTATATAAATTATAATAATAAAAAAGTATTATATGAAATTAGCCTTTAATCTAAATTAAAACATCAATCTTAGATAGTTATTTACTGCTATACTTCCTTTCTTACATTAGGGTTGCCGCAGTTATTTTTGGCAGCACTGGCATCAACAGTAGTTTGGTGATTTTTTACGGCCCTCAAAACCAAATAGTACCAAAATTTGTTTTTATTAATATGTTTACCAACAAGTATGTTTTATGTTAATTCTGTTTCCTGGAATTAACATAAAACATAACTTGTTGGTAAACATATTTAATAAACTGTATTTGATTGGTAAAACCTAGGTTAACTGTTGCATTGATGTTCTCAATTTTTAATTCTGCTAGTACTGAAACAGTACAGAGGTATTATGCAAATTGCTAGCATCTTAATAAAAAATTGATCCATATAATATTAATGAAGTGAATAAAAGAATTCATTTTGATTTCTGCTGTAAATATTTAAAAAAAAAAAAAAAAACAACTTATAAACGTGAATACTTATTGATTCCACAGTAATATATTTTGTTCTATTTCATAACTATTTAACAGTATTTAATTCTTTTATACCTCCTCAAAAGTGAAATTGCAACACCAAGAAAGAATACACATAGCATCATGCAAATTGCAGAAGCGAGAGTTGTGAGGTGGCAATCAAAAAGTTGCGCACGCGTTGGATCACGTGGTATGCATATACGGCTATAAAGTTCAGCCACTTTCTCTTCTCATAAACAGCATCTGAGGGTTTGCGGAGCATTGGAGACTTTAGAAGAAGCATAGAAAATGCCTATGAGACATCAACGAGCTTAACTGGATTAATACCATCAGTTGACGACTGGGGAACGTGACCGTATTATCGAACTCCATGAACATGGTTTGTCGCTGCGCACAATAGCCACTCGTGTTGGGCACAACATTAATACCATCCAACGTTGTGTCTTACCATGGATTCCAGAAAGGTAGGTGCACATGCTTGTCGAAAAGAAAGGGTGGGCACAGGTGTAGATCAGAGCACACAGAGCGGTGTATTCGGTGTTCAACTATCGAAGACCCTTCCTCCATGTCACGTGACATCCGAAGCCGGTTGCCTCCAGGAGCAGGTGAATCTGCGTCCACCTAAACTGTACGCAAGAAATTGCATGAAGTACATTTACGTTCATGGGAAATAGGGATACCATTGACTGCTGAACAAAAGACTAGATGCCTGGTGTGGTGTCAATGTCATAGTGCATGGATCATCAAATGGCATTGGGTTTTGTTCATGGATGAATCTCGTTTCTGTCTGTGGAGGAATGACAGCCGTCGACGGATATGGCGGCCACCCGGAGAACATTACGAAACAGCCCATTTCACCGAGTGTCACATCGGTATTGCACCAGGTATAAAGACATAATGTTTTATCACAAGACACCCCTGGTACACATTAATGGCAGTTTGACAGCGGACCGTTACATCACGTATGTTGTGAAGCCTGTTGTTCTGCCCTAGTTGCAGGGCACACCTAACATGGTATTCCAGCAAGCCAATGCCAAGCCGCATGTTGCACGGTGTGCTCTTAACAGCCTGATTGGATATGACATCCTACCCTGACTTGCAGCCTCTCCAAATCTGAATCCCATCAAACACCTGTGGGATGTCATTGGATGTGACATTAACCGAGGAACACGGCCAGAAACCTTGGATGACCTGCGAGCATCAGTTGATGTGGTTTGGCAAAGGTTGCCTCAGGCAACCATCAATGAACCCATTGATAGCATACCTCACCAGATTCCTGCTGTATTGCTGCCCGAGGTGGGCACATTAGATACTGAATAAATTGGTTTATAATAATTTTACACGTCTGTTATTTTAATCATTTGCATATCCATCTCAGAACTCTTGATTCTGCAATTTGCATCACGCTACAAGCATTCTTTCTTGGTGTTGCAATTTCACTTTTGAGGAGTGTACCATTGCTATAATCGTTATATATAAATAACTATCCTTTCAGCATGCTAATAAGTATATGAACAAGTTTTAAGATTCATTGAAACTTGTAGGGAAAAAATTAGGTACCATTATTTCAGTTCACTTGTTTTGAAATATTAAATATTTAATACTATATTTTCTTTCTAAAAATTTCAGTGTCTGTTTAGAAATTTTCAGCATAACTTCTGCTCATTTCATTTAATCCATTTTTGCAATGCTTGAGAAAAATTGTCTTTTCCAATATTATGCAGATGTTTTTGGACATCCTTATAGTATAATTTCCATCTTGTTTATTTTCTCCCTCCCTATCATATAAGAGCTGTTTTAAGGAAATTAAAAAAATTGTGCAAATTAATGGACTATAGAGAAGCTCAAAAGAGACTAGTGCAGTTGAATTGAATCATTTCAATCACACATGCTGTAAATAATGGATTTAGTGTTTGAAGAAGCATACTATACTCACATACTTTCATATCAGCCATTTTCAGCAGACAAAAACTGTTTCCAAAACCATCTGATTTAGCAGCAACAATAAATAAGGGACATCACAACACATTCATGAGACCTCAGCATAGGTTTTATGTAAAACTGATTAAACCATCAAAAGCTAGTTTAGTTTTTGTAAGAATTGGGGCTTAACTTTGGCTGGAGTCCATCAGACCCTGCTCCAATACTTCTCAGTTTAAGTGAAATTATAATTCCAGCTGGAGTCCTAAACAATCTGAAATGTGCTATTTTAATTTATTATTTAATTATTTATTATTTATTATTATTTATTTTAATTTAGTTTAATTATTTATTTTTATGTCTTACATTTTGTCTCATTTTAATTATTTACTTATTTATTTTATTTTTTTTTTTTCTCAAACACCTTTCCACAGGGCATAGTTCTAATTTTGGAAGTTAAACCCTGGTAAAGAAGGATATAATTTAACTGCTATTTTTCTGTTTTCTTATCTCATTTTTAAGAAATGATTAAAATTTTGGATCTGCCTTCTACAAAATAGCATGCAGCGGTATATTTTCAAAGTTATGGAAACCTGGCATTAAGTGGAAATAAGTGCATTAATAGGCCTAATACGGGACTTTATCTGGAAATAAATGAGCAGTAGCAGCACAGCATGAGAAGTGAATGTCCATTAAAAAAGGAACATAGTTCAAATGCTTAAAAATTATATTCTCAATCCGTAACTTGTGTATACACTGGTGTGCAAAAATTAAGGACGAAGTCGAAAAATTAGCATATCAGCTGAACAAAAAGGCAGAGCGGATAGAAAGACCAATCAGGCGATTAAGTAAGGTGATGTACGGTAGCACATGCGCAGATATGCAGGTAGACGTAATGGGGGAGTGTCTGAGTAGTATAAAGCATGTTGTCGGTGTAAGATCAGTATTTCTGGCAAAGAGATTGCACGCCATATAGCAGTTAAAATCACACCGAGTTGCTGCCTCAGCGAGAAATGGCGAATAATCAATCTGTTAGACGCTTTTACCCGAGGTCGAATCATTGGGAAGTTGGAGGAAGGCCACAGTGTGACAAGTGTGGCTGCAGAGTTCGGAATTGCTCACAGCATCGTTTCATGACTTTGGAGACAATTTCAAACTACAGGAACAGCTATCCGGGGGTTTAGTAGTGGTCGTCCACGAGGAACCACACCCGCAGATGACCGGTATATTGCCTTACAGGCCAGAAGAAACAGGCGGCAGACAGCGGGAGAAATCGCTAGACACACGATACAGGCGACTGGACGACCGATATCGTGTTTTACCATGGCCAGAAGACTGCACGGTGGTGGTCTGTTTGCATGACGCCCTGTACGGTGTGTACCTCTAATGCCTGCCCATCGGAGAAGGCATTCTCTGTGGTGCCGGGAACACTGGAATTGGAGAGACAATGAATGGGGACGAGTACTCTTTACAGATGAGAGCAGATTCAGTCTGAGTAGTGATTCTCATCGCATACTCATCTGGAGAGAGCGGGGAAGCCGCAATCATCCCTCGAACATCATTGAAAGGGACAGGTATGGAGATGGCGGTGTTCTCGTTTGGGGAGGCATCATGCTTGGTAGTCGTACAGACCTTCACATCTTCGACGCAGGTTCAGTCAACGGGACCCGCTATTGTAACAAGATTCTTCTTCCATATGTGCGCCTTTTTAGAGGCGCTATGGGTCCGCAGTTCCTTTCCATGGACGACAATGCACCATGTCATCGCACAGTAGCTGCCGAACAGCTCTTAGAGAGTGAGGATATTGAACGTATGGATTGGCCGGCACGATATCCGGATCTCAATCCCATCGAGCATGTATGGGATTTTCTAGGCAGACGCTTGGCAGCTCGTACCTTACCACCAGTAACGATTCTGGAGCTTCGATTGGCGCTGCAAGATGAATGGGCAGCAATGCCTCAACAACTCATTGACACCCTCATTTTCAGCATGGGCAGATGCTGTGAAACCTGCCTAGCAGTCAGGGGAGATCATATCCCCTATTAAAGACCGGATGTTTCTTGCTGGACACCCATCACAGGGATGTTTCGGCCTTCAGTCGCATTGTGCTCCATGCTACTTTTTCAATAAAGCTTCTTTTTATCCCTCTGATTTCTCTTTTAGTAAGTGTTGCTTACATTACTCATGTCGTTACGTATTGGGGATCTTACGGTATTAAATGTGTTGATTTGGAAAGCTTTTGTACAAAGTTAATTGAAAACACCGTCTCGTCCTTAATTTTTGCACACCAGTGTATATTGATTATCTACCTAGATAAAGAGCAATATTTTGCTTTAAACTTCCACCTTGATGACTGGTGTCGTTACTTATATATAGGATATGACAATCATTTTAAGATTTATGAACAATTATGTATCTTTCCTTTTAATTCCATGCCGCATATCTTCACACAGACCAGAAAATTATGCAAAAGTAAACCTTGAGTAAAAAATGGGAAGACTTGTGAATGATAAATGCAACTCATGCATTATTGCGTGAAGAGCTACCTTGATGTAGTATACAGCTATGAAAACTCTCAATCTTGCTAACTTTTGTATGACAAGTTTTTAAAAAGCACAGTTACCACTCAATGGAATTTTCCCCCAGTATTATTCTGATAAACAGTGTAAGTTCAAGCCTCATTTAGGATTCTTTTGTGAAAATTGTTTCCCTTTGAAATAGAATTACCTAAAACTCCAAAAAAATTGTATTCTATGTTATTTTAATATACATAGGTTGGACAAAAATATGGAAACACTTCGTAAAATGCATGTTTGACTAAAATTTTTATTCTTGCAAAAGCTAAAAAAAGCATTTTTATTCTTGCAAAAGCTAATGTGTTTGCTCATTAACACCACCTCTACAACATCCTGAATACCTGGCAAGTGCCATTTATTGTCAAGACTGTTCTGTGCAGTTGTGAGTTCATTATGTCAGAGCTAAATGAATTCGAACATGGGGAAATTGTTGGGGCTCATATAGTGGGTGCTTCCGTAACCGAGGTAGCTGAAGTGTTTGAAGAGGCCCAGTATCTAAGATTTTTAACTCATACAAGAAAACCGGAAAAATTACATCTACTAAATCACAGCACAGATGAAAATGTGTGTTGAATGATCATGACAGATGATCATTGAAGAAGATTGTAATGGAAAATAAGAAGACTGCAGTTGCTAATGCGACTGCTGAATTGAATGTTGCACTCACAAACTCTGTCAGCACCAAAACAGTACATAGGGAGCTCCACAAGCAGAGTATTTTTGGGAAAGCTGCAATTAAAATACCACTCATCAGTGATCAAAATGCCTGTAAGAGGAGAAGTGGTGCCAAAGTTGTAAAACTTGAGTTGTAGAGCAAAGAAAGAATGTCATTTAGTTGGATGAGTCTTCACACTTTTCCTGACTTCTGATTGAGTTTATGTCTGGTGAACGCCATCTCATGCATATGAAAGACACTGTTTGTTACTGAGAGTGAAACATGGTAGGAGTTTGGTCATGGTTTGGGCAGCCACCTCATGGTATTCCATGGGACTCATCATTACTGTTCAGAGTCACATTATTGCCAAGGATTATATGACCATTTTGACTGATCATTTCCATTCCATGGTACAATACCCCCCCCCCCCATTGTGATCCCATATTCCAAGAAGGAAAAGCTCTTTTTCACTCACATCATCCAGGTTTTTTTTAGCATGAGGGGGGAACTTCACATCTACGATGCCACTACAGTCTCACCAGCTCACCAGATATCAATATTATTGAGCTTTTGTGAGCTATTTTGAGACAAAATCTGTGTGAAGGCTATCCACTGCCATCATTGTCAACACTTTACAGGAAGAAAGGTACAAGGTTTCCTTGCAAAGCATAAAAGACCTCTATTTGTTCATTACGAGAAGACTGCAAGCTATTTTGAACGCCAACGATTTTCCTACACCGTGTTTGTCGCAGCAATATATGTTTTTTTGGTGTTTCCATATTTTTGTCCAAGTCCTGTATATGTTAAATTGCCATTTACTAGCAAATATACTCCTTTGTGCAATTTACTATTGTTACTTTTATTTTGGTAAATTATTTATTAATGGATTTTCTGATCAGAGAAAATAATTTTTATCTGATTGTATATTATAATTCATCCTATGATTTATTGAGACAATTTGTGTTCCATAAAGCAAAGTGTTTTAATCTTAAAGAGAAGAGGCATTTTTTAGAAATAACCTCTCTTTTTCCCCCTCCTCCTATTTCCTTTCTTATTTATTTATTTTTTTCCCCTGTGAATTTCTTTAATGTTTTTAATTTTATTAGATTATAAAGCATTACTCTAATACGTGAATTAAAGCAATGGATGAGCATTAAAATTCTTGTTCTAGTATTCTGCGATACCAATAAAAAAAGAATTGTTTATCCCCTTTGGTGAAGGGGGATACAGCATATATTACAAACTCTTAAACTTGAAAAATTTAATGTTGGTATTATGTGTAGTTATGTTCGCTCAATGTTATTGATTTTGTAATTTTATTTTACCTGTTAATTTCAGGTTTCATGTTTGAAAAGCAGATTAGAAGCTGTACGGTTGACAAAAGTTCAAGAAAGCAGTATACCCATCCTACTGCAGGGTCAAGATGCTTTAATCAAGTCTTGCACTGGTTCTGGTCAGTGTTGATTTTATAAATTTCAAATTAAAGCATTGTTCTTTATAATGTATCAATTATGGGGGTATGCAAAAATGTAAAATATAATCAAGTAGCTAGGCAAATGCCCTTTTCTGCATGGAGTTATTGAAAATAGGTTATTTTAGGTCAGCTAAAAGTATCTTCAGTCATCCAAGGCTCACAATAATTTTTCATGAGGTTTCAATCATGTAATGTAAGCCCTGGAAATAGTAATTTATATATCATAATAAGAAATGATCACCTAATACTAGAAATTTTTTGTAATTTTATTATTATTATCACAGGTGGCTGCTTGTTTGTAAAGTTATTGTTTTTTAATTAGCTAAAACAGTGCAGTATGATAGTTCCAGGGCCAAGCACTTAAAAGATTTTGATGTTCCTTCATATGTTTAAGCCAATTTTCTTCATTCCTTCTCTCTTTCTTAGTTTTTGTATAGCTGCACCAGACATTCCATGGCAAAACTGGCAATGGGACATTTTTTAGTGCTCTCGTTCTTGAATACCTATTGACCTTTTTCCTTGATGCCCTAAGCACATGCTTATACAGTTGAACTCGCTTATTATGAGTGCAAAAGAACCATAATATTTGCCCATTATAACAGAGAGCTCATAAAAAACAGGTTTGTGAAAAAGTCATAAAAATGTATACATACTTACTAAATTATATATACTTATTCAAGTTATTTTTAATTTCTGTATAGTACAAAATAAGTTGGTAAGGATTTATGACTCGTCCCTCACTTTTGGTTGACATTGGAACATTAAAAGAAAGCTGAGCTGGAGAGGTAGAAATGAATAGAAATTTTATGAATCACAAAAATATTGCTTGCTATAACTGGAGTTTGCTCGTTAAAAAGGAGTTATACTCCTATAGACTTAACATTGCATCAACCAAGTATTTCCCCTTTTCTAGTTATATCCAGGTTCTCATTAAATCAGGGCTTGTTATAATCGAGTTGTACTTTATTGCTTAATGGTTAATCCAACACTGGGTAGTTCAGTTTACAAACAAAAATATATAGATATTACCAAAACTCCTCTCTAGACTTAATTTGGGTACTTTTTGTTATAGCAGCCCCCAAGATTGATTGTCAATCAACTAGGATATCTCCTGAAAACCTGTCTGCGTGTACTTATACCTCACCATATATGATTGTATATTAGCACTGGCTGCATGTTCTGGTACTTTGCCACATAATCATGTACTAGCATTGTGTTGCATTTTTGCTCTCGCTGTGTGTTCTTATTTATTCATTTTTGATGAAGTTTTCGAATTGCTTATTTAAGAACATATTCATTGCTCTTTTTTTTTTTTTTTTTGTGTGTGTGTGTGTGTGTGTGTGGATATGACATTAACAATCTTTAATTTACTAATGAATGATTTGGATGCCATATAATTTTTTTTCAAGAAAGATATCTTTTACCTGACATATGAGTATGCGAAAATGGCCACAGCATGAAGCTTTATGTTAATGACGAAACCGTTGGGAGATGCAGTGCTAAAAATTCCAAAAAGAAGGGCCCCCATGTTGGAAATTGGTTCAGTTGTTCTACAATATTGTTCATCACTGCTGTTAGGTTTGTGTATTCTTGGGCAGAGGAGTTGATATTCATGAAATGGGGTAACAAATAGCTTAATATGTGTGAAAGTGCTGTTGTTGACTGCAACATTTACATGTGATAAAATAATAATAATAAGGGTAAGGATTCTTAAAAATACTCTTAGGAAATGATATGTGAATACTATTGTTGTTATATATTGTATTGTTTATTTTTGCATTCGCACTTCATGAGCTTGTGAAATTATAGCTGAGATCTTAGTGCAAATCTAAAATAGCCAAATATGGTTGGGTGCTGCTATAACAAAGAAATACCTTAATTTATGTATCTAGAGTCAGTAAATGGCATGAATTTTGCTTTGTGATGTTTACTTTCTAAAAACAGATTTCTTTAATCGCATCTGTTATGTTTTAAATATGCTTTTTCTTTGACTGCTAATAATCTTCATACAGCATAATAATTTTGTTTGTATATGATCTTAACCAATATAAGATTGTATGAAATTACAGAAAAACATAAAATAATGCATTATATTATAAAAGCTAATGACATGCACCATTTTATTTCCGTAAAAAATATCTTAATCAATACATAATATCTGAGCAAATATCTTTCAGATTGTTGATGTGTATATCATATATTCATTTGAATTTTATTTTGTGTTATTTATTTATTTTCATTTTCTGTCAAGCACAATTAAATTAGAGGCTCCTCCCCTCCAATGGCGAAGCAGTAAAATCGCTGGACACTGGTAGTTCGGTTTGAGGTTCGAATCCTGCAAATGGGCTCTATGTTTTCGTGGTTTTCCCCCATGTGTAATGTGTATACGAGCCAGTTTCCCTTAAAAAGTCCTTCACAAAGGCATCCCCTCCCATAGGCAGATAGCCCTCGAGGCTTTGTCATAATCACATAAACCAAACCACAATTAAATTAGAGCATTTTAATAAATACAGGATATTTTCATTTTCTTAATTTTCTTCTGATAACTTAAATTTCGCATACCTTCCACTCCTAATAGTGCATTCCTTCATAGTGTAGTGTCTCCTATATTGCTTCTAAAGACTATTTACCTTTTTTGATATCGTTATTGAGGCAACTTCATTATTTTTCAGATCTTAAAACTAATAAAAATGAAAATGTTCTTTTCCTTCCTGTTATCAAATTCTCTAAACGTTAAAAAATAGTTGAAGGTTTAAAAAAAAGATTATTTTAACTTTCCCTTCAGCCGTGTCTGGTACTAGAAATAACCTAAATGAAGAGTACGTTAAACTCATTTTTATCATAATAACCATTTGAAATAACATACCCTTTTTTTGCTGTGAGGCATCGTTATATGAGCCACAACTGTATTGTGTTACTGTAGAATCTGCCGTAACTGGCAGCAACAGAACCTCAACTATTCTGGATTAGAGAGATTTCTGAATAATTGAATCTGTAGTTCTAAAACTTATATGTTCATATTGTGTGATGCCATCTGTAAAAATTGCAGCCTATGAAGTCCATTGATTCATTGTTTTTGATCTACTGGTCACAATTATATAAATAATATAGAAAATAGTAGAAATTATTTAAAAATAAAACACATGCACATGCTTTTTATATTTTAGAAAAACAAAATTAAGCAGCATTTTAAAATTACCATATGTAATTTTGCATGAAAATTACGGATTTCTCGGTGTGAAGACACAAAACTTTGAATTTCTGCTTGCTTATAAGATGCCATAGTTTTAATACTATATTTTTGATAACTCACTGTTTTTGCATTCACTTTGCTCTGGATGTCGGTTTCATATTTATCCATCCTCTACTCCTCTTTCTTTTTTACTGCACATGTTTGCTTATTTCATCATCTTGAGAAAATGTGAACGGAACAGAACTGCATATAACTGATGCAAGGTTGAACTAATTATAGTGTTTAGCATCTTTTTGACTTGGTCTGATTACCTGTAATTCAGCACAAGTTCAAATCTCACTAAAAGGGCTAATGTATGAGGTATTTTGTGGTTTTTCTCTTGTCTAACATGAATATGAACTAGTTTTAGTTTATCTTAGAAAGTCCTCCAAAGATATCTTTTAAATAAATTAATTAAAAGATACTAATTTTATATTGATTTACTGTTGCCATAGGAATCACACTCAGTCTTCTTTTCTTTTTTCATCTATCACTGACTGGGTGGGTAAAATTACTTAACGTTAATAGTTTATTCATGAGTTTGATTCTTGATGAATAAGGTAACTGTATGAGGTTTAAAATTATTTTCCGAGTTAAAGTAAATACAAGTTAGTTTCTCTTTCAAAATAAATAAATAAATAAATAAATAATAAATAAATAAATGAAAATAAAAAAAGGGCAGATGGTCTTTGCTTTGTCATGATAAAACAACTAACTAGCTACTTTTCTCTCTATGCAAGCAGTCATAAGATTTTGGTTGCTAAATCAAATGTTATTTTTTTTTAAATATGCTTTTCAGGTTTAGATTTAAAGTTCTGTGGCTAATCATAAGATATTAGTTTTTTTTTTTTTTTTTTTAAATTTTTATTTCGAATGCTGTGAATAATCATTAACATGCTTACAGAAAGAGAAGTAATCTATTCAAGGATAGATTAGTTCTTCTTATTAGTATCTTGGTCATTTTTTAGCATGAACAACTTGCACACATCAAGATGTGGAATGCACCAGATGATAGAGAGTTTTGTATGAAAAACAAGTTTTATCTCTCTTTTTCATACAAAAATAATGATACCATTACAATGTTGTTGGAATATTATTATAGTTCGAACATAAATATTAATTTCGTATTATTTCATTTAACAAAATCCTTAGAGATATGTTAAGTCTTAAATAAATTCAAAGGTGTTGATGGTTGTTAAAGGGTCAGAAACTCGGAGGAATATTCCTGGAGTTATACTTACTCAGTATTCAGAGGTGACCATTGCTAAACAGACAGACAAAATTAGACCAGTTTCTTCAAGTTTGCCTGAAAGAATGACAGGATATTAGTTATCATCCAGCACATTGTGATAGCATGTAATGATTAAGATTTTCTAAATAAATCATAGGATTTAGTGCTTCCCATTGGTAATCTTTTTTACATTGTTTTACAAAACCACCATTACTTTTGAAATTAGTCCATGGTTTCAAACTGTTGATTCTGTTATTGTAAATATCCTTACTTTTGTAGAATTTGTATTTTTGTATTTTTTTAGAAAGAAAAGCAATATATATTTTATTTTTTATTTAATAATAACTATTTTAGTGATATTTAGAGTAGTATAAAACAAAACAATATATATAAAGTTTTAGAGTAGTATAAAACAATATATATAAAGTTAGTGGATGGCTGCTCAGCCAGCTAGTATGTTAAAAGATGTGGTATTTATCATCATCTTAAATAAGGTGTCTGCATGCATTCTTGTAGTAATAGTGTATGTTTCTGTAATACTAAATATCTCTTATTTTAATGTAGTTTTGTTGTAAATTTTTTGTATCTGTTGTTGCTTGAAGTTTTTAGAATAGGGCATGCATGTTCTTTTATTTTGAATTTTTAATGCTGTATTTCATCGTAACTGATTATTTATATTTTAGGTAAAACATTGGCATATGCAGTACCTATTGTTCAGAAGCTGCGGGAAATGAATCCTAAAGTCCAACGGAGTGATGGTGTTTATGCTTTAATTATTGTACCAACTAGAGAAGTATGTTTTCCTTCTTTGTCTTCTGGTTAATTTTTTTTATTCAATTGAAAGTAGATTGCAAAATAGAAATTAAATACTGTCATCTTTATCTTTTTATTTGTTTATCTTAGAATCACATTAAGGGTAATTTTGAGTAAATATGAATTCAGCTTTTTTCAAAATTCTATACAGGCAAGCTTTTTGAAGTAGATAGATTTAAATGTACTTTACTGTAGATCCATTTCTATGAAACTGCTGTGTGGTATAGAATAGTTTGCTTTTCATAGTTGCTGAAACATAACTTTTGTTTTGCAAATGCCATATTCTTTGTGTTTATAGCATGTGGTTGTGGACTGTATATTAATTCATAAAAGTCAAAATTGAAAAACTTAACATTTATTTTCTTTTACACATAATAAAGCTGCTTAAAAAGGCAAAGAAGATAGTAAGGATTACAATTAACAATTGACTGCCACTTTGACCGGGTAGAGGAAAAGAAACTCAGTATGGACCGAGTGCATGCCTATCACTTACTGACCAGTACTGGGCTCTGGCCACTGACATAGCATGCTGTTGCAAATTTTATGCCAGCACAACTAGACAGAAATATTCTAACCAACATGGAACATTCTGTCCGGACTGAAATTTGATACAAAAATTTCAATTAGTGATGAATTACAATATTTCAAAACATTATCTGTAATGATGGAAGAGATTTCCCCTGTTCTCACGCAGAACTTCAAATATTTCCTGCACTGGAAAAATCAAAACAGCTAAAACTTCTGCAGAAAAATTACAAACAGGCTTCCAAGCAGCGATGTTACTGATCCATTTTGCTGAAAGCAATGACTAGGGAATCATTCCAACAAATGACGGTGCACCAATAGCTAACTGGCTTAGCGCACAGTAGCAAATTTTGGACTTTGAGATTGTGGGTTCGGGCCTCGGTCAGGCTCACTTTTTACTTATATTTCATTTTTGTTCCTGTTTCTTATACCATGTAAGAAGGAAGTAAGAATTACAATTAATAATTGAGTGCCGCTTTGACCGGGCAGAGGAAAAGAGATTCATAATGGACTGAGTGCATGCCTATCGCTTACTGATTAGTACTGGGCTCTCACCAGTGACATTATATAGTGCTGCAAATGTTACATGTTCTAGTCCTTTAATTTTTATAATTCAAAATTTAGTAATTTTTAAAGTTGATTCAAAACCTTCATATTCAAATAATCAAGTTAATCTTTTGTTGATGTAAGATGATGTACTCATGAATAATCATAATTTCAGTTGCTTGATTATGTTATTTTTATTTTCAGCTAGCCTTACAGTGTTTTGAATGCTTTTCAAAGTTAACTAAAGTAAGTATTATTATTGAGTGATTTTGTTTTGAATGTTAAATAACTATTAAAGAAGCATTCCTCATGAAACAGTATTATTTGTAATCCATTATATATCTCTAAATATATTGCTTTTAAATCAGCTTTATACTTGTCATGTACGTGGAATGTAAAGTTAAACTTTTCATATGGTTCCTATAGTGAAAAAGTTCAGTTAGTAAAATGTTAATTAATTATTATTATTATTAAACAATAAGTTTACTGATTAACAATAAGTTTACTGATTGAGATTACTTTTCAGTGCTGTTGCTAAGAGCTTTTGTTCAGATTTAAGGAAAAATTACAAAAGTGTTTTGTTACTTTGACTTTTGTCATATTTTTTTTATATTTACTGTCAAAATTTGATAATTTTTTTTATCTACTAATAACATACTTTCCTAGATGTGTATCTTAACTATCATTATATCACACCACAAATAAGAAACTAACAACAGAAAGAATTACAAATAATAACTCATCTTTCCGATATCTCGAGTATCTATTGTTTTATCAGATTTCCTAATAGACTTGTTTCGCAATTTCTTGATGTATAATATAGGATCATTGAAAAAAACAGGCCTTAATTTAATAAGTTTGGTTAGAAAAAGTGTTTGGGATAACTTAATAATATTTATATCAAAATAAACTTGGAAATTTTAATTCTGTGGTCATACAGTAAATTTCAATGTTAGTTCTGTTATTTTCTATATGGGTAAATAAACTGATAAACTGGTATTTTGTTTCCATGTCTGTGTGCTAGATTATGTTTTATGTGATTCTAGCAATAGCAGTCCAAGTGATCATTTTAAGCATGTATTCCATAAAAATTTACTAAAACTTATATTGAACAGTTATAAAAGATTTAAATACTGTGTATTGCACATTTGCCACCCTGACTGGTATAGTTGTTAGTGATGCTGGCTGCTGCACTGATGGACCTGAGTTTAAATCCTAGAGAAGGCATGGATATTAGTAAGTGTTATAGTGCCTCTCTGGCATGGGAGCATTTATGCTAGCAAGCCAGAACTCCTTTCAAGTTGTTTGGTGGTAGAGGAAGAGGGATTGGATTATTTAATTATGGCAAAGTACACGAGGGCTATCTGCCTAAAGGGAGGGATACCTTCGTGGAGGACTTTCTAAGGGATACACGTTACACGCGGGGAAAACCATGAAAACTCCCATGCTGCCAGCCCGTTCATGGGATTCGAACCTCGGATCGAACTACCCAGTATTCAGCGTCTTGACCGCTTGGCCACTGGTGGGCCTAGTGCATTGAGACTATACCTGTACAACCAATAGTAACATTCTAATGTCCCACCTACCTGAACCTGCAGTGCACTTTTTGCTGCATGCTATGCTTTTATTGTAAATATACTTTTTACTTCCTTGTACGAAGTAAAAGGGAAGTATTGTAATCGCGAAAAGTTTCAGGCAGCATATTTCAACGAAAATATCCATTTTGACCGCTATCGAATGCAATTTAATGATGTTTTTGCATGATATCTGTATGTAAGGACAGAATAAAATACTCTTTTCCTTCAAAAAAAATATAAAACTGCTTTAAAATTAATTCTGAAGAGAATTTTTCGTGGCGTCTGTACGAATGTATGTACGTACGTGCGTACCTCACATAACTCAAAAACGAGTAGCCTCAGAACGTTGAAATTTTGTATATAGGACTGCTATAACATGTAGATGTGCACCTCGTATTTTGGTTGCAATCGGCCGCACCAAACGTATATAAATATATTTATATATATATCCACTCTATTACCCGGCTCAGTGATCTCGGTTTCTTTACTCTTATATGTTTGTAAATTGTACATTTTTTGCTTTAAAAATAATTGAATTATGTTGTTTTTATCTTCTGGTTAAGGATTTTATGCCTTTAGTAAATCTGTGTGCAATATTTTTAGAATTATCAGCAATTTTAAAGTTGTTTAATTGCCGCTAAGCCTGTTTTTAATGGCGGCCATTAATGTTTACATTTGAAACAGGAGACTAGTGGATTTGTTGCCAATGTAGAGAAACTTAGCTTCACAACAACAAAGATAACACATTCATTTATTATTGCCAATTAAATCATGCTTAATTCTTTCTGGAATTTTTTCGAGGAAATAAGCGTTTGAGATTTACTTCATAATTTTTAATATAGATATTTTGAGTTTTTGTGTATTTTTGCCTTCTCGCGAAGTAAGAACTGAATTAATTAAATGAGAAATACTCAATCGTCTGTGAAAAACTGTTTCTTTTTTGTTTAATATTTGCTTAATTTGTTTTATACATAGTTCTAGCTTTATTATAGTATTTGAATAGAACATGTGTCAACGATTAGATAATTCTTTAAATGATATACATTTTGTGCATTCTGAGTTATAATATGAAGGAAATATAATACTGTTAAGTAAACCTAGTGCCAGAGTGTCGCTATGGTAAACAAAGTGAATTTTAAGGAATGCATTTATTCTATTGTGGTTTATGCGCTGTCGGCGAAGTAGGTTTAATTCAATCTCATAAGTTTAAATAAAATGCAAGAAAAAATGCGTATAATTTAATATTCCGTACAAGGAAGTCATGTGGTGTACACATCAGATTTTTTTTTTTTTTTTTTTTTTTGCATTGCCACCAACTTCATGTAACATAGCTGTCATTCAGTGTTATTAAGCAAAACTTTTGCATATGTCAAAGTTACCCTGCCCCTTCCTATAGTCAAAACTTTGCAATTTCATTACTGTTTTTACTATGAAAAAATTAAATTTGCTTCTCAAAATGTATAAAAAATAAGTGCTTATTTCTTTAATTTTTAATTTCTCTTGTGCTAATTAGAGAATGATTAATTTTAAGAGGAAAAAAATATATTTCTTGAGCAGATAGAATACTTTAAAAAACAATTTGCCAGGGAAATTTTTTATTAATCTAATTAAATGTATTTTTAATTGCCATATATTTTGCTTTGTTTATTACATTATTATGTTTAGGCTTTTACATGGATTGTGCCAGGATATTTAATAGGTGGTGAAAAGAAGAAATCAGAAAAGGCCAGGTAATTTATATATATTCTTATTTATATCTTTTGTGAATTAATCATATTAAAAATGAGCATAAAATTCTTGCATTTTGCAAAATGTTTTCGAAATCTTTCTTTCTTGATGGCAAACAGATTTAAATCACAGATAGTCAGCTGCTTTTTAATTATTATTTTTTTAATGTCTATAATAATATCTAAGCATTTCTTAAAATCCCATTTATTATTTTGTGTTCAGATATCATATTTGGCTTCCAAATAAGAGTTTTTGCAATGTGAGTAGTTATTCTCACATCACCCCCCAAAAAATGTAGTGCAGTTATGTGGTTACACTCTCTCAACATGTTAGTTGTAACAGTACCTTGTTATTGGAATAACAGTTATACTTAATATGGAAAGCAATAAATAAAAACACAAACTGAATTAATAGAAGGTACAGTTTGAAATTGCTTGGAATTTCCACATGTAAATAAATGACTCTGTAAATAAAAATAACAGCACAACTTTTTACGGTATCATGCTTAAACTTAATTGCAATGTCTGAAGATCAATTTTACCTCTTTTACACTTAATGAAAAAACATTAAAGTACCTTGCTTATAAGATATAAGCTGTATGTAAAAAAAAAAAAAAAAAAAAAAAAAAAAAAAAAAAAAAAATCCTTCCAATAAAATACAAATTGTCTAATAAGTAACTGTCGATACTTAATATAATAATTCTTTCCACTTTTCTATTGTTGGTCTTCAGCAATCTGACCTCTCAGTCTTGGAAATAAACTAATACACCTAATCAAAGTAAATTAATGTTTAAGAAGCTTTTCACAGGTAAAGAAAGCTCAGCAACTGTTTGCTAATTACAAAATATTTACCAATTTATAAAATTCTAGTTGAATTTTGCTAATTATTCATCTTTCAATTCAGAATATATGATTTATAACGTTAGCTAATTGCTTGGTGTTGTGAATTTGTGTTTGTTCTATTTGTTATGGAGCATTCTGTAAATATAAACATATTGCAAAATTTATTTAATAATTTTCTAATATTTTATTGTGAAGAAATTTTTTGTTTATGGTATATCAGAATTATAAAATTATGTACTGGGTCAAATAAAATTCGGAATTATATTTTCAAAATCTGTCACAATTTTTCCACCATAAAGTAGTTCTGTTAAAATAGTTATGTTGTATGTCAGAAATCAGTTTAAGCAATTTACTTTTGAATTTATTGGATGCAAGATGCGTGTCTAGGTATTTTATTATCTAAAACAGAAAACAAGTAAACAATTTACAGTACTCTTTGACTCATGTAAATAACTTTATAATCTATAGAGGTTAACTTTCCAGTGTGTGGTTTATTTCTCTGTTTTGATTATAACAAAGCAAATAATTATGGCAGACTCTTACTTATGAGAAGGTTCCAAAAGAGAAATTGGCTCATATTTACATTACACTTGGAGAAAACTTTGATAACATTCAAGCTACCAAATTATTCACTGGGATTTTAACCTGAGTCTAAAATTTTTCCTAAATGGTTAGAAGAAAACTAGTGGAGATCAAGTACAAAGAATAGTAATAATATAAGATTGCACTTGCTCCACTTACTGTGTAGTATTTTTAAAATGTAATTTAGCATTGTATGCTGTAACTTCAAAATGACAATATGCAGATGTTGTATTTTGTAATGAACATAATGCTTTTTGGATTAAGGAAATAAGTATCAACGGAGGTCATTTTATTTTTATGGTTTTATCCTTTTTACTTATTAGATATTACTTAATGTGGGTATATTAAGAACTTAAATTTTCTTAATTTATTAATGTATTTTCTTGTTGTTTTGAACATTGATATATTTTTATTCATTCCAGACGACAAAAAAAAAAAAAAAAAAAAAAAAAAAAAAAAAAAAAAAAAAAAATTGGTTGTTTCCTAAAAATACTATTATTAATTTAATGAAATAGATTGGGTTGATGAAAACAAGGATAACATTAAGTTATTTGAAAATTCAGTGTGGAACATCATCATCCAAAAATTTATTAGGAATATATCAAGACTGCTTTGAATAATGCATTAAGAGCTAAACTTAAGTCCAAAATTGTATTTTCCTTTTGTGAAAATATATTTCCTTCTAACATATTTTTTGATTGTCTTTGCATTGGATAGCATTCTATTTTTATAATTTTGCCCTCCTTCATATATGGTTTAAACCTTTCAATTTTTATTTATCAACTGTTTCTGCTAAATATTAAAAAAAATATTAATCGTATTATTTGCTATTTTTGCACAAAACAGGGGAAAAAATTTTCAATATAATGCTGTTTATATTACCTTAGAGGAATCAAAGACTATTTTAAATACTGATAGATACCATCCTGTTTGGCTTTTATTAGCTTCAGGTGTTTTATTTAAGATGCTAAAAATTTGTGTATGAGTTTTGAAAAGTTTCATATTACAGATTTATTAAAGTATAGGTCATGGAAATTTGTTAAGTAACTACTGAAAAATATGTGGTTTAAAATTCATCGATTCTCTCTCCTCTCCTTTAAATGGGATAAAAAGAGTACCTTATTATTACTTAAAAATTATAGTTTTTTAAATAAAAATAACAAAAAACAAAACATACTTGTTTTATTGATGTACTTTATTCGTTTTGCGAATTTTAGCAATTGATAATTATGAATTGTGTCTACACTATGCACATTTATGTGCATTTAGGTTAAGGAAAGGTATCAACATTCTTATTAGTACCCCTGGCCGACTTTTGGACCATATGGAACGTACATCTTGTTTGTCACTGAGCAAAATTCTATGGCTTGTGATTGATGAAGCAGACAAGTAAGTATTGTTGCTTATTTTTGTAATTAATTGCAATAAATTATCTAAATAAAATTGCACTGCAAAGAATTAGTCTTTCATAATTCTAGCTCTTTATAATAACATAACAAAAAGTGAAATGTTAATAAAAAATTGCTGAAAATTATTATTAAACTAAAAGTGTTTCATGTGTCTAGGGAAGGAGGCACTGGAAATGTGTATTAGTGTGAATAATGGATGATTAAATGACAAATGACACAGCATGCATCAATTTTATGAACAGCAAATGATTATTAGTTACAAATGAGGTTCACTATGACCTGAGATGTTCCAAGAGCTGCATATGTAACACAACATTTTCCATAGTGGCTTGCAAAATATCAAAATTAATTTGTGTCACCTGTAATGTTATTCAATTTTTCAAAGTTGCAGTATTAGAGACATGCCTTTGATACAGAACACCTTCACCTCGGTGGTCATACCATAGGAAATTCACGACTAATGACTTTGCTGGCAACATACTCTGTATCTGAAGTCCAATGTGGGATGGTGTACCATACTGCATGAATGTTGTTGAATTGAGACATCCTCATTGTTGTAATTGTAGAACCACTGAATTCTGTAGTATATCGACATACCTGTGAGTAGTAATAGTACAGCTCACTGGTTTACTTTTATGATCTTCCATGTAAAAAAAAGGATTGACCATAAAAGATGCTGTAAAGCCACACCTCCCTGTGACTTTTGGCAAATGGAGCCTGCACACAAGTTTGCGGATTATCCATAGTCCAAATGGAGCAGCTGTGTTTGTTAACACTACTGTGTCTTGTCACTCCATAAAATATGTCACAGCTATGTACCATTAACTTGCATGTGTGCTAATAATCTCAATGAAAAGTCAAATTGGATGGCCACATTGCGAGAGAGCAATTCTTGAATAGAGGAGATTTGATATGGGTTAAACTTCAACATCTGATACATCTGATAACATTCTGCACTGTTGAGTATGGAATCTGTGTGTGCCAGGATGATGCCTGAGCACTGCTGCACCCTTTGCCTTTGCCATCTCCTTTTTGACAATAGCAATAGCAACTTATTCATCTTGTTGCTGACTAACCAATTTGCATTCCCTGCCTGGTTGCTAAGCTAGAGTTCCTGTAGTTTTAAATCATTGAACCATGTTTTGTAAGTTTGTTAAACTCATTCATCCTTTTTGTAATTTCATTAACTGCTGAAATTCACGAAGGGCAGTATTGGCATTCTTGTTCTGCTGCTAATACAGCTTGCCTAACAAAGCACAGTCCCATTAGGTAAGAGCTATCAAAAGACATTTGGCCTCAGCTTGATGAGAATTCTCTTAGCCTTTTCTTTCATACTCATAATCACTACACAGAGCATAATTATCTAAATTAATGCATTTTATTTAGTAAACAGCTCCAAAATATTTAAAAAAATTTTTTGGGGGGGAGAACTGAAATCCCATGGTTCATTCTGTACACCTATCAAATTTGGATATTTTTTGTTCAATACTTTACTCATTAGAGGACTTTGAATACCTCACATTGTTTTATAACCACCCTGTACTTTAAATGGCATCTAGGTAAATTAAGATTTTGGAAGTGGTGTATTCTCAGCAGGGTGTCAAATTTTTTCTGTGATGGAGAAATTTTTACTTTTTCATATTAGAAATCATAAACATTTACAGAAATAATAAAAAGAAATTTTTCAAATAAATTAAATTGTTATTAGTGTTTTTCCCCCCTTAGCAGCTCCAAGATTACATCATTGTTCATTTTTTCCAGTCTCATTCTTCTTTTTTTTCCTTTTTTTTGTCCCCCCCCCAGTTTCTTCCACTATTCTGGAAGAAATGTGTTTCTTCCAGAAGAAATCCAGTCTTACTTCTAGTAATATAGGTATATAACTAAATATATAGCTACATTAATTCAATATTCTTACATACGCCATGACAAGGATGTAAAATGTGTCAAGGTATAATAGGAATAATAAATCCTTAACCTTCTTCCGAAGAAAGCCTCTCTATCTCCAAACTAAATAAATAAATAAAATTAAATAGAAATAAAAAGGAAAAGTTATGAAGCTAAATAATAAGAGAAAATAATCAAATAAAGGAGATACGAAAGATTTGGAAAAGGCTCAGATTTTGGAAAAAAAAAATATGTAAAATCCTTTTTTATATATCTTTTTTAACACTTTTTTGCCAAAATAAACATCTTTATTTGTTATTACAGAAAAGTTGTGATGCATTCTTTGATGCATCTTCAATTTACAAACTTATCTAACTAACTTCACAGCAATTTTTGCATTAAAACATTTGTTCTAGAAGAATGGTGAGAAATAATTAAAAAAATTTTGTGTTTTGAATTTTTGCATTTAAGTTTTATAAGATTCTTTTTAAATGTATCTACTAAAAAAAATTGAATTAGTTCTTAAAGTATTAAATATTTATTTGTAAGAAAATTTTCATAAAATTGAATGTAGCATTTAAAAATTTTAATGAATTTAAAAATTTTTGGTATCTGCTGTTCTTTCCTCGTGATAAAAAGAACATGTGGTTTTAAAAATTATTCATAGTGTTAAATATTTTTTTACTAAGGCTGACAGATTTAATATGTTACTGAAATTTCACTTGAAATATGTGTTAAAAAATTAAATGAAAAAATATAGATGCATTAAGTTGCTTTTAAAAACTAAATGTTCCTTTCAAAATTCAAAATAATTGCTTTTAAATGGAGGTACATCAGACCATTGCTTAAGCGAAACAAAAGAAAGCATTGTAGATAAGTACTTAAATTATGGAAAGCTTGCATGGAACAAAAAAAGGCAGGCTATGTAGAATGAAAGAACTAATACAATATAATATCTGATTAAACAGGTGGTCTGAACAAACAATATCTGATTTGGTTATATAAATATAACATAAGAATGTTTTTTCAAAGGACTTTATAAGGAAAACTAGCTCATATTTACATCATGTATGGGAATATTATGAAAACATTCTTGCAGCCAACCCCTTTGCCAAGGTTTAAGCATTAGTCAAACTATCAATGTTCAGTGATCTTAACTGTTTGGTCATACCCTGGCTAAACAGCCATATGGATATGTAAAATTTCTCTGTAATTTTTTTTTTTTTTTTTTTTTAAATTCAAGTTCATCTGTAAAATAGTTTGAGTTGCAAAATTTCAGCAGTTGAAACATTTTAGGTGTAAAAGAAAGCATTCATTATATTTAATGAATAATGGTTTTTTATATATTATACTGTAATTAATTTTTAAAATAATTTCAGATTGTTAGAACAAGGTTTTGAAGAAGCTGTAACAAAAATAATCTCCCAGTGCAATAAAGATCGACATAGCATTCTTCTGTCTGCTACGTTATCTAAAGGTTTGTTTTTGTAAGTCTTCTTTGCTTAAAAAAACATAATGCAAGTTACATTAAAGTATTTTTAACATATACATTCGCTTTTTTATAAACCTTCAGTTAGACATTGATTTTTACAAACAGGAAATAATTCATAAACAGAAAAATATGCTTGATAAATATGGAGATTATTAAAAAGGTAACAAATTCCAAATTATTAAGAGGAATCTAATCAGTGCTAATGACAGATAGTATTATCTTGCAGCACATAATGCAAGAAGGGCTGAATGGCAACATCTATAATATTTTTCTGTAATAATATGTATTTTCTGACTAAGAATATGTATCTTGTTGCTTTTATCTTTCTATAAAACATATAGCTCCAGGGAAAGAAAAAAAAAGGGGGGAGTTAAATATAAGAACTTTTTGAAATTTAACATTACTACATTGTCTGATATTTTGTGGCCTGACAGGTAGAAAGAACATATAACTTGAGCTAACTGTAATTCTTTAAGGTCTCACTAGCAAATGATGACAGGTCCGGGGTTCGATTCCTGGGCTGAGCAAGGTCGACTCAGCCTTTCATCCCTTGATTTTCATCACTTGGGTTGATAAAATGAGTACCAAGTTTGCTTGGGTATTATGGCAAAGCCAGTGGGTACTAAACACTGGGGGGTCCTGCGACAACCTGACCCCTTGTTCAGGGCTTATGCTTACGCAGCCCGGGGCCCACGGTCAAGAAAGCAGATTTCGAGCACTGCAGGCCTTGGCCATTAGGGCCGTTACACCACTGAGTTTAGTTTAATTTGGCACATGATGAGCAGTGGTGTAATACTAGAAACGTTTTAAATGATTGGAATAGTATATATAAATGTTAAATTTCACTTGAAATATGTGTTAAAAAATTAAATGAAGAACATATAGATGCATTAAGTTGCTTTTAAAAACTAAATGTCCCTTTTAAAATTCAAAATAATTGCTTTTAAATGGAGGTACATTAGACGATTGCTAAAGCGAAACAAAAGAAAGCATTATAGATAAATACCTAAATTATAGAAAACGTGCATGGAAAAGGCAGGCTATGTAGAATGAAAGAATTAATACAATTTAATATCTGATTAAACAGCTTATTTGATTTTGGTTATATAAATACAACATAAGAATGTTTTTGCAAGGGACTTTATAAGAAAAACTAGCTCATATTCATATCATGTATAGGAATATTATGAAAATATCCTTCCAGCCAACGCCTTTGGTAAGGTTTATGCATTAGTCAAACTATCAATGTTCCGTGATGTAAACAGTTTAGCTACAACCTGGCTAAACAGCCATATGGATATGTAAAATTTCTCTGTACATGTTCTTCTAAGGATGAATTTCAAGATGGACCACAACATATTCAGTTAGAATGTGAATTAAATTTCCATACAATATATGTATCACATTTTACTGATCTTGATTCCATTGTGATTACACCAAAAACTAATTCAAGCAATTTAATTACATCTCTCTATTAAAGCACTCTGTTACATATATGTGGATAGCTGTTGTTTTACTGTTGTGTTTGCATATAAAAGACCACTGAAAGCTATACAATTTTATATGAACACTAACATCTTTTGATTTGTGTGTTATGTTGTTATAATCAATGGCAAATGCATATTAAGTCATCTGTTGTGAGATTTTAGTTTCCACTTTCTTTCACTAGTAAATTGCAATGTTTTTGCCAGCTACCATCTCTATAGATAATTCAGATTGTTGCCCCTGCTTCCATCTGCTACATATCATATCAATTTCAGATGTTCCCACGTGTAACATTGCACATACATTTAACATGGTTATTTCCAGCTTGGATTACTCATTATATAAAAGTTTTCTACTAAACTTACAATATTAAGTTTTCTCAGGAGTGCTTGTATTTACATCAGCACTTTTAGATACATTTAACATTGCACATCAGTATAAATGAATGTTAAAGGAAATATAGTCATAAACATTTGAATGTATAATCAAAGAGGATAGGGTATTATGGCAAAGCCCATGAGGACTGTCTCCGGGAGGTGACCTTCATGGAGAACTTTTTAAGGAAAACTGCCTCATATTCATGTTACACATGGGGGAAAAAAAATCAACCACGCAGAAGCCCATTTGCCTGGAAATGAACTTGGGTTAAACACCCCGTATTCAGTAGTTTTAGGCTGACCAGTAGGTAAGCGTTAAAGTCGCTGAATACTGGTAGTTTGATCTAGGCGTTGCAGGCAAACAGGCTAATTGCATGGGGTTTTTGTTCTTTTTCCCACGTGTAACGTAGCTATGAGCCAGTTTCCATTAGAAAATCCTCCATGAAGGCAATCTTTACCCTTAGCCAGATAGCCTTCATGAGCTTTGCTATAAGCTAAATCAATTCAGTGGTCTTACGACTCAGCCATTGGTGAGGCTCTATAATCAGAAAAGAGCTCTAATATGCTTGTGCTAGTTGATTAAATGAAATTAAATTAACATTATTATTATTATTATTTTTGTTTTGAAGATTAAGTGTACATAAAGGTTTATTTAAACACAGCACATCAAAAATAATTCTGTATACAAATACACACATACATTCAAAATTATATGCATCCAGATTCTCTTTGCTCATTTCTGCTTGGAGCATTGTCTTTGAATTTAATATCTATTATATCTACCTACCTACCTACCTACACAATGTGTGTGTGTATATATATATATATATAATTTATTTGCTAAAGAAATCTGATTATGTTATCTCCTAATATTAATTTTAGTAGAAGTATCTAAAAAGAGTGAACCCATAGATAGGAAGTTTAATTCCAAAAATTGTTTTAAAGTGACTTGAATGTAAATTGTTAAAAATGTTTTACGGGGACTTGAAGTAAATCATGAATAGCAAAATTTCAAACTTTGTATAAGAAATTATTATTATCTTACTTTGCAGCTATTGCGCAAGTATTAGAATAACGTGTTTTCGAACTAAGTGAATTTAAGATTATATATATATATATATAGATACAGATATATACAGAGGGATTCTAAATTGTTTTTACAAATTAAGAGGGGTGATAAAACTCATCCAGATGAGCAATAATTACCATAGAACATAGGGTCGCATTTCACTCTGAGAAGCGGAAAAGAAGAATATTAGAATTCCAACCTGAACTTACAACAGTGTTGGGAGAACAAATGAAAGAGACCAAAAGAGGCACAATCAATTTAGTGAAAAGCTCACAGAGAGTGCACAAAACAGATAAAACTGAAAGCTTGGCATTCGAGTGTTAATTCGAGCTCAGACATTGATGGCAAACACTCAAATGCATATCTTTGGTTCGCAAGGTCTCAACCTCGCAACTGATTGCAAGGAGTTAATTATCTAATCAAAGGAATATTATCAACTAACTCAAGGTAGGTTTAATACCAGCAAGGTAGCATTTCCCCCCCTTTTGCCATCTTCTATCCTATTCTCCTGGACTTACTGTGCTGCGCACATCCTACTTGAAGCACCTTTCTATAGGACACGAAGTTCTGACAGGAGCATGAACATTTCATTCTAATCTCGGCATACAGTGGAAGGAGTTAGTTGATAATATTCAGCCCTTGGTTAGATAATTATCAATAACTTGTTGCAATTGTTTGTGCGGTTGAAACCTTGCCATCCAAAGATGTGCATTTGAGTGCCTGCCATCTGGGCTCGAATTAACACTCCAACTATAAGTTTTCAGTTTTCTCCATTTTATGCACTCTCTGTGAGTTTATCATTAAACCGATTGCACAACTTTTGGTCTTATTCATTCGCTCTCCCAACACTGCTGTATGTTCAGGTTGGAATTCTAATATTCCTCTTTTCTGCCTTTCGGAGTGGAATGCGACCCTCTGTTCTATGGTAATTATTGCTCCTCTGGATGAGTACTATCACCCCTCTTAATTTGTAAAAGCAATTTAGAATCACCTTGTAGATAGATAGATGGATGATTGGATATAGATAGGTAATTAAAAGTAATGCTGGATCAATTGAAAGAAAGAAAAAGCAAGGTAGAAGTAATATTGTGAAGTAAATTACATGATATCTGCATTGTGCATGCATTTTTTAATATATTAGTAATAGGATTATTTAATATGTATTAGTAATAGGTATTTAATATGTATTAGTTATTTAATATATATTGTTTACTAAAAGTGCACTTTTTAATTTAGAATAAATTTATTTTTAATTTTTTTAATTCTTAATTTTTTTATCTGCAAGAATTTTTAATTATTCATTAATTTTATATTTGTTAGGTGTAGAAAATCTTGCTGGTATGAGTCTTTCAGATCCTGTCCATATTGATGTGGGAACTAGTGCTGGTAAAGAATCTGGAGAGTTTGAGAATCTTGTTGTACCTAACAATTTAAAGCAATATGTTGTTATTGTTCCATCAAAATTACGTTTAGCTGTCATATCTGGTTTTATCATTGATAATTGTGTCAAGGGTGGTTTTAAAGCTTTAATATTCATGTGCTCCCAGAGCTCAGTGAATTTCCATTATTCACTGTTTAGTGGTGTTTTGGCTACCCTTTTACAGGCAAGAGAAAAAAAGTGCAAGTTTTACAGACTTCATGGAAACATGAAACAAGAGGTAAAAATTATTAATTCATTCAATAATTTTATAGTGCTGTATTTTTATTAAAGTTTCTATATTTGTAAAGTATAGCCAGACCTGTTCAACTGTTAGTTGAATAATGTGTTACTGTGCTTATCATGACATGTTTTCAAGATCCCTAATTGTCTCATTTATTCACACAATGTATATTATGTTCTCATTTATTCACACAATGTAGTCCATTTCCCCCATCTGTAGTCAGTGTAAAAGTGTGCTTGCTATATCATTATGAGCATGTGTTTTTATTTAATAAATATTTTCTTCGTAGTAAAATCATTTAATTTTCAAATGCAGACAGGCTTTGACTAGATAAGAAGCAATATCATAATACAAATTTCTTTATCCTATCCCCCTGCCCCAACATTTGGTCTAGTCAGTATGTTAAATACTAATTAAATATACTTCTCTCTTTTAAAATGTTGTCTGTTCTTTGAATTCCAGTATTTGGCCATTCATATTGTCTTGTCTTTCATTTTTCTGTTGAAATTGGTATGGCAAGTTGGCAGTATTTAAGAAATATTTGGTAATTCTCTTTTCCTTGTTTAGACAGTGAATATTGAGAGGAAAAGTTAACATAGTTATACTTAATGATAGAATTCATAAGAAGAATAAACTCTCTCTCTCTCTCTATATATATATATATAGCTGAGAATTTATCTGTTAAATAACAAATACAGCTCCATCAATAGCAGCTCAAAATTTTTGAAGTAAAGAATTCAAACAGTGTTAAGTATAGTAGCAATGATGAAAATTTAGATCTTCAAAACTGCTCATAAGAAAATCATGTATTGTACATAAGAATTATGCATCTATCTACGTATTTAACATCTATGAATGAAGCAGCAAATAAGGATTCAGGTATTTCATAAGTAACTTAGTATTAAAAAGTTTTACATGTATTCAAATTTAAATCAACAGCTATTAAAAATAGAACATAAATAAATAAAATATTACTTCCTTTCTCTAGATTTAGTTTTTAATTAAATGCAAAAATTAATTAAAATTTTTTTCTGATATGACTTTAAAAGTTGCTTCGTTTTGGCAGCTCATAGAAGATTCTTGAAATTTGATCATGTTCATAGAATCTTTGTTAGGGAAGAAGAGTCACATTTTTTTTTTTTTGTTATAGTTTTCTTGATTGCTTATTAGGGCTAACTGATTGCCTATCTATATAGAGCATGAAGTCATTTTTATGAGTTTTTAATAGGAATTTTGGCTATGTATTACTAATAACTATTTTAATTTAGTTTTAAGAAAATTCTCATTACTTTTATGAAAAAGAGGTAAATTAAGTTTATGCTGTTCTTATTTGAAATCAGTACTATTGACAGTCCTTTCTGTACTGGTTGATAAATATTTTAATTTCTAGTTTAATTTAAATTTTTGAAAATTCTCACTACTTTTATATATATGTATATATATATATATATATATATATATATAAAGGTAAATTAAGCTTATTCTTTTTTTAATTGAAGTCAGTACTATTGACAGTCCTTTCCGTACTGGTCGAAAGATTGCAATTCTGTTCTTGCTGCAGATTTTAATTGATTTCTGCTGCAATTACCTGAATTAAAATTAAGCTGTTTGTAATAAGAGAATGGTAATTTTATCTTCGTATTTTTCATTTTAAATTCTTAGAAGCTCTTTTTTGAAGTTCATTTACTTCTGTAATCCCTTAAATTTATAACATTTATCTGTTGGTAAAATCTTAACTTTTCATCTTTCCTGCTTCCAAAATACCTAATGTCTTTACAAGCGGTGCCCGAACTAAAAGGGTGGTGGATCATGACTCTCCATATCCAGGATTTGGCAATTGGGACCCCTAGAAACCCCAGTCACCTTTTAAAAGGGGAGAGTATGTAAGGTATTTCTCCTACCTTCTTGGCATGCCTTTGTGGTGTGGAGGTCTGCACGCTGAATGCGTATTCCAGAGATCCGCAGTTCAATTCCCGGCAAAGGCAATTGCTTATTTTTAATCTTTCCTGCTTCTAAATTACCTAATGTCTCTACAAACACAAATTTAAATTAAAAAATTTTAAATAGCGTTTATGTGCAAATTCTTTATTAAAACATATTTTTTATTTTCATATTTCCTACATTAAATATTGTGTTATATGAAAAAATACAATTTCCATTTTCAAATTTCCTATCTCAACTATTATATGATCTGTATAAATACAACCAATAAAAAGTAAGCTAGATTTCCTTGTTACAGCATGACACAATTAAAAAAAAGTGACCAATTAAAAAAAAAAATAAATAAAATACTCTTATTTATACTTTTGTTTTGATTATTTTAAAAAGTATCTTTAATATTTTTAACATACTTGATTATTGCTTTTTTTATAAACCTTAAACAGTCTCTTTATAGCTCAATATCTGGTAGAAATGATTATAAAATTGTTTAAAGTAGTCCTTAAAAACCTTAAGACCTTCACTGAATTATCTGCAAGAAATTTTGTCATAACTTTTTAATGGCCCCCATTGAATCAATGTATGTTGCTTGTATTGCGACATTTGAAGTAACTTAAAAGTTAGTCAGTGCTAAATCAGGAGAAAAAGATAAGTCTTAAGATGTTAAATCATCGTAGTGTGTTTTTTAATTAAAAATCATGTACACTTTGCTGGTGGTATTGTGACCACTTGCACTAAATATTTGAAAGAAAATATAATATAAAAAACACACATAGTTGTTACATATGACCTTCAGAAATGCATTCATGCTGAATCATACCTTTGGAATTTTTTGTCTTTTACTTGAGCAATGTTTCGTTTATCTCTTTTGAATTTTGAATTTTTTACTTTACTTTTCTGCCAATCTCCACTTTGCACTCTTATGCATGGTTGATGGCTGAAACAGTAAACATCATATCTCATTATTTGTTATGATGCTTTTTAAATAGTTACACTGATGCCTAGCAATTTGTTTGAAAATTTTGGTAACTTTTAATGCATTTTCTTCATTTTCAGTTGTTTCTTTCAGTTTTTTGTTTCATTTTCATTCCTCTCATTGTTCATGATTTCATTGTCATTGGGCAGTTTCCAAGATGTTTAGCTTGATTCACGTCACTTATTTCAGTATCATTTTCTCCAGTTCGAAGCAAAACTTTGCATTGTTCTGTCTTAAAATTTCTGCAAAAGGGCCAAACCTACCTTTCTAAACCGTAAAGTTTTTAGTGATGAATGGATAAAATATATCACTATATAATGCATGCCTTGTTTCAGAGATAGAGCTGCATTTGCATTATCTGCTTGGAAATACTTCCAGCCTTCTTTGGATATACTGTGTATATTGTATTATCACAATTTTTTATTTAATTTAGTTTTCTGAAATTTTAATATTAGTATGTCTAGCTATCAGCTAATTAATTTATAGCAATCAACTAATGGATTAGTGTATCCCTTTATCAGTTGTGGTAATAGAGTTAACAGGAAAATAAAATTTTCGTGGCACAATAAAGGAATTTATAGAGTTCAATTTTTTTAAATATTTTTCCATTGGGGCCGTTAAACTTCATTGCAGTCTTTTTGTCAATTAAACAGCTGTTATTAAGAATCGTAGCAAATGAGTTAGATGCATAGATGTTTTCATGGTTTTCTTCTTTAGCAGCATGAGTGTGAGCCACTTCTCTCTTGAAAATCTTCCATGAAGGCATTCTCTTTTTTTTTTTTTTTTTTAAGCAGATAGCCTGTGTATACTTTCTGTATTCAATAATAATAATAATGAGTAATCATATATAGCTTAGACTATGTTGAAAAGGATTATTAAAATTTGATATTGCTTACATTTCAATTAGATTTATTGATAAGAAAAGTGTGAAAGCACTGTGAAATCATATGGACATTTTACAAGAATTATTAGTGAACTTTGTGAAAATGTCCATGTGAGATTGAACACTATCTGTTTCTTTTTCTAGGGCATTTAAATGTAAACCAAAAGCATATTATAACAGGCTATTAAAAAAGAATAACATTGTTGTCATATAAATATGTGTTTTTATTTCAGTTACTAAACAAAACTGTCTGTGATCTTCTATAGTTGTTATTGCATTAGAAAAAAGAAATTTTTTTTTTTTGAAAGTGGAAACAAATCTTTTTTTAAAATTTGCTCTTTTTCAGTAATTTTTTGTTAGTTTAAAAAATGGCAGTGATCTAAATTTAAAATTTCAAATAAAGCAAATTTGAAAATTTTGTCGGAATTCATATAATAATAAAATATTGTGTACTTTTTTAAACTAAATTTAAACATCATGACTACATTTTTTACGTCGAATTATTTATAAAAGCTGTTAATTCATTTAAATCACTGAGTATTATTTTTTTTTCATATTGCATGTATGCAAATATGAAAAAATATAATTTGTCAATTAAATAATGTTTAGATTAAATAATGTGGTTAATTGTTATGATTATTATTAATCTGATACTATCTTGACATTTATTATTCACTCAGTGACTAAAGTTAGGAATCATGAATAATTCACCTGTAACTCTACTACCAGCAAATGAATGAGCAGATAATTCTAGTGTGTTTTGCCATCATCAAATAATTTAGTCTGACATAAATTGAGATAAAATTTTATTTTTATTATTGGAATGTTAGTGTGACCCTCATTTGCCTAGCTGAGGTAAAATTCAATATTATTATCCACAAGCAGTCAAGTTTTTCTTTATTGCATTTATGGAAAGAAGTACATTTCTTATTTGATAGTTTATGTATATACAGTCAAAAGTCGTTAATTTGGACACCCATAATCCGGACCTCAAAGCTAAAAACTTTCTGCGCATGCGCTGCGTTGACACATGCGCATAGGCGTTTACGCGTGCGTGTAAGACCTTTTACGACTGCGCATATGCGTGTGCGCAAGTGCAGAAAACGTTTTCGCGTACGTGTTTTATGTATAACGGACGGTATAAGCTAAAATTATCTAATTATCTATTTCAGTTAATGTTGATGATTGCGTTGTTCCTTAATCTTCGAATTGGATCCGGCTTATTATTTTTTGCAGACTGTAAGAGCAATTTTATAAAAGTAAACTTGAACTTTCGATTATGTCAAATAGAATTTCCGATTCTGGAGCTCCTCAAAGGATCGTACAAAACGAAAGTATGTTTCGATGTCCATCAAACAAAAAGTGGAATTGCTGCAAAAAATGGATAAAGACATGAAGAATGTGACAGAGAGGTTAGTGAAAACAAAAAAATTTCGATTGACAAGTTAGTCGTATTTTCGGTACAGCAATTAACGGAACTGAACAGCGGAAACTTTGTAACTGAACAAGAAATCATGTTGTTTATAGAATTAAAGAGAAAGTATTATCACATAAAACGAAGCAACTTAAACAACTTACATTGAAAGAAATGTTTAATAAAGTAAACAAATAAATATTAAGCTTTTTTTTTTTTTTTTTTTTTTTTTGTAAATTTTGATACCCTTTAGATTATAATTGTTCTTTATTTCATAAATTACAATTTCATATTTTTAATTTTAGAATTTCCGCATGCCATCTTACGAGATTTAAACTGATGATCTATAATCCGGAATCGCCGAAGTCCCGACGAGTCCGGATTAACGACTTTTGACTGTATTATAATTAAATTTTTGTGTTTCATAATGATCTTTATACTTTTTCATTCTATATAGAATCTGTCACATTTTAATGTACTGTCTGTTAAAATTTCATGCTTTATGAATAAGATAGCAGCTCTGTGATTATTTTTGCAAACTTTGAGGAATCTCGTGAGTGTTAATTTTTTTTTTTTTGCGAGTATTTCTGATTTTCCCCCAGTGGCATAGGAAAGCGAATAAAGCCTGCAGTGGGTACCATTTCGGAAGTGGTGACAAAAAAATTCCATTTTTGTATTAATGCGCTTTTTTGTTACATAAAATAATATGTAACATTTTAGTATCATCTTTGACAGTATGCCTGAGCTCTCGTACATAGATTAAAGGAGTGAAATTATCCATTATTTTCACATAGAGAAAAAAAAAACAATTTGAAATAAAGGAGTCAGTTGTAGGTTTTTTTTTTCCAGCTAACTGGGAAGAAAACCATTTACTTAACAGAAGATATTTTAAAGGCTATTGAACAGGATGATCTAAATATAACACCGTGCCAAGGACAAGGATATGACAGTGCCCTTACAATGCTAGAGTGCATTTAGAAATTCTAGCAATGACTCAGTTCTAAAGCATAATTTGTACCCTATACAAACCACTCTCTCAATCTGTGTGGAGTACACGGTTTTGTAACAGTTCCATAACGTGTGACTTTTTTGAGATCTTAGAATGTCTGTACATGTTTTTTTTTCAGCTTCTGCATACAGATGGATGATATTTCTGACTAATGTTGAAGTTATAGTTAAGCGATTTTCAGAAACAAAATTGAGTGCTTGCTGTGAAGCTGTTAATCCTGTGTTTAAGTGCTTTAAGAAAACTGTTAATATTATTGCAGAACTGTGTGATGTTTCGGAAATGATCAAACCCAGAGTAGTAGCTCATATCCTGTTGCCTGCAATGAGAGAGATTTCATTTTCGTTTTTATGGAATTATGTCTAAGAAGAAGTCAACCACGTTCAGTATTTACAAATTCTTGGAATAAGCTTCAAGGAATCTTATCAAGATGAGAGGTCCGAAAGTCTGTTTAAAAGAAAAAAGAAGTGACTTTGTTGCACTGCAATTTGCAAAAGGTACATGCAAAGAAATAGGCATTACTGTAGTAGAATTGTCAGGAAGAAGAAAATTATGCCCAGAGAGAAGGCTGCAGACAAGCCTCTGACTTTGTACCCAAAACTGAAAAGATCAATGTATGAGTGCATCGACAGGTTTCAACAAGAAATTGAATTGGTGTTAAAGCATGGAATGTATATCAGTTCGATTTGCTATAGCTTAGCAATGTTTTGGAAAGTAAACTTCTCAAGTTTGTACAGAGTTTGGTTGAAATTTACAATGAGCTTTCTGCAGATGGCATCCTTACAGAAATTCCATGCCTAAAAAAATTTCTAAAAAGTGCAAAGTTTTTTTTTTTTTTTTTTCTTAAGTCTCTTTATGTGTTTCTGTTGCATCCTTTGTCCATTGAGAGGAATTTTTTTGAAACTTAAACAAATTAAGAATTATCTCATATCCACTATGAACCAAGTACTACTCTCTAACTTAGCACTACCCATACGGTATGGTTGTTAGCAGAGCCTACTGTGGTACTGAAGGGCCCAGGTTTGAATCCTGGAGAAAGAACAGTTGTAACTATCCGTTTCTCCATAGGATGCAACAGTGGCTGTCTAATAGGTGACTTCACAATAAGATGATACCACTTCTGGCCTTAGGAGTGGCCAATGCTGAATAGGCAAGTGCCTGCCATTTGATAAACAACAATAACAAAAAAAAAAAAAAAAAAAAAAAAAAAATCTTCTGGCTTAGCTTTGTCATTTGGAAATAGTATAAATAAGGCTATTGATTTTGATGATGCAGTTTTGAAATCTGCAGAGCAAAATGTTAGAAAGAAGAGATTCTAAGTAGCTGTGTTGAAGTACAATTTGTTGGATTAGATCCCAGAAAACAAAATTTGTAAATAATTTAGTTTTCATTAAATTGTATCATAATAAAAATGAAATTTTATGCTAGAAAAATCACTATTGAAAAAGATTTCTTGCATTGCATATTAAACTAGCTTATTAGTAAAAAGGCATTTTACTTGCTTTCCCTCCCCCCCCCCCCCCCCAATTTATAAAAATACTTTGCAAAATAATTTAACATTATGCTCTCTTTACTTAACCACTGGAATAAAAAAAAATGCTTCCTTGATCAATTTAATTTTATATTTTGGTGGACATGGGGATGATAAGTTAAAACTTCCTATAAAATGCCACCAGACATCGTTATGCCACTGATTTCTCTTATTTTCATATTTAAATAATTTTAATGTTGATGAAAAACTATGCAAATTCTGTACTGAAATACAAATCAAAACATTAAGTCTTGAATAAATAATTCAAAATATTAAGTCTTGAATTGCTCATTAAAATTTCAAGACAGGTCCTAGTATTGAAAGGGTGCTAGACTTCTGGAATCTTCCTAAGTTACATACAAAAAGTGGAATTGCTGCAAAAAATGGATAAAGCTGTTGTGTGTTATCTTGCAGTATCTATAAAACAATATCAAATGCTAAACATTCATTTCCTAAATTTTAGAGTTTTATTGTAATAGGCAATTGCTTAAAAATAATATTGCATGCATGAAATATGATGTATTGCAATGCCATCTCACTTCAGAGTGAAATCTTTGCATCAGTTCAAAAATATGTAATTAATGCTAATTTAATTATATGCATTACTTCATTCTTGACAGACAATTTCCCTTTTGAAGTCCTTGAATCTAAGCCAGCTAAAAGTTTGGCAATTTATTCTATAAAACTTGGCAAATTTTGCCATGCAAACAAATTTTCTGCAGTTAAATTACTGTTCATATTCTGCCATCATTGACATTAAATAAAATGTTTGAAACTAAAATATTTGATCTAATCTTTTAATTTAATTTTCTTTATGCAGGAAAGAACTGAAATCTTCAATTCATTTAAGTCAGCAAAAGAAGGTGTCTTATTATGCACAGTAAGTTGCTGTTGTTGTTTTGCAAGTGTATTATTAAAGCTTATGTGCTTGTAATTCAATGCTGCAGGGAAAAAAGGGGGAAAGGGTTAAATATATAACTCTGAGGTTGAAATAATTTTAATTAGTTTATCAAGTATTCCTTTCTAGTAAATAAAAAGTGTTTGAGTATGCAGATTTACCAGACTTTTATAATTTTTGTGTGTCTTTGTTTAAAAGGGGAGAGAAATAAAGATTTTAAGGTTTTCTGGTTTTTAATGCTGAAATTTAAGATCATGGCACAGATATATGAAAGAGGCCTTAAGCTCTGTTATTTATATTTAAATTGAGGAAGATATTAACTTTGGGATAATTTATAAAGGAAAGTAGTATTAAATTTGTTGCTCTTGATGCTACTGATTGTAATGCATATATAAGATGTTAGTACAAATTAATGAGAAAAATATTAGTTTTTATTCCTACTTGATAAGTATGAGAATGCTTTACTTTTAAAAATTTATTTAATGAATGACCTTAGAAAACTGGTTCAATAATTGTATACATTTTAGTTTTAGAAAGCTGTAAGCAACTACTAAGATTTAACAACTTATTAAAAGTTATTTTTGGTTGAAGTTGTAGAAATTCTTCTATTCCTTAATTTCTTAATTTTATCACTGATTAATTACATTATGTATATATTCAATCTTCCTCCTAGGTAAATAGTTTTTGAGCTGCTTATGATGTAGCTAATGCTTGAGAACGTTTTTATGTTTAACAGTAAGAGTTAACTATAAAGGTATTTAAAAAAAAATAATATATAAGTGTGTGAATTGATACTTAATTTATTTTAGTATTAACCAATAACAGTTTATTATTATTTATCGTCTAATATTCTTTTTCCAAAATTGATTACTGTAAAAGCCCTTATTTTCGCGGAAATGAATATATCGGTGGAAATTTTGCGAATTTTATAAGAACAGAACCGAAAGTTAAAAAATTTCAAAAGTACCTAAGTGTGCTAGCAAGCCGGCATCTACCATCAGACGATATCGCTTCAAGAATTGTCATCGTATCGTCCAAGCCTTTGGTGGCAGTTGTTGGACCGGTTTTTTTCCTTTTCTGCTGCTGGCATTCGGGGGTGTAGGACGGGCTTTGGTCTGTCCTCTCCCTGGCCGAAATACGATGTGCCATTTTTCCTGCTGCTTTTTGCTGTTCCTTCAATGCTGTCTGCCATAGATGAAAATCCTTTTAGTGAGATTTTTACATGAAGATTCAAGAAAATAATTACTCCTGTTTCCTGTACATCATTGCAGAAAATAATTTTTTTGAGCTTCTTCCTCCTTTCCAGAACTCTTCGCGCGCACGTGTTTGTGAGATTTCAAACTTCCTGATTTAAAGAAGAAAATGCAGAAATACCAGGATTGATCAAGTATGCTTAATGACTGCCATCAAATTTTGATTGTTCCTTTTACACCAAGACTTTGTTTCGAGCGGATCCAGATAGATTGACTTATTTCTCCGTGCAGTGTTAACTCTAGTGATGCGCATCACTCGTGCTTGATGTTCAAATTTATTTGTCTTTATTTATATTAATACTTAATTCAATATCAAAGATGAAGAATAAAATATAATTGATTTGGTAACATACAGTTGTCATACTTTGGGGTAAGTACTTTATTTTGCTGTCCTCTGTGGGTCACATATTTTATCCCTGTCATTCGGGTTATTGCGGAAACAACGTGATGTACTCTTAATGATTGTTATAATTTCTTCGCTGATAATTAAATAAGAAATTAAGATATATAAATATTTTGCACCACATATGGTGCCGTGGCAAAAGAAATAACTAAAAATCATTTAGTTCAGGTTGAGAATTCAAATAAAATGTGTGACCTATAGTATATTTGCTACACATATGATTTATATTGTTGGAAATTTATGATAATGATAGGTAGTAATATGCATGAAAGAGTAAATCTATTTTGGATAATTCAAAAAATTCAATTTCATATGTATTGTTATATGTTATGTGTGCATATTTAAAGAAAGTTTTAAGATATTTGAATCAAAAGCTGATTTCAGTAATTTCATTGGGTTGTGGTATGTAATGATAAAATAATGTTCAGCAGTATTAGAATCCTGAAGTGTTAATGATCAATGTACTTATATTGCATCACTAATTTGATATATGCATGGTTGAAGTTACAGGAGATCCTAATTAATTACTAAAATATTTAAAAAAAATTACCTTAACTTTGCTATCTACTCTTACATGCATGTTTGGTAAATGTATATGTAAATTATCAGAGAGAGTGCTAAGTGTTTGTGTAAAATAATGTAGATCTCAATAACATTAATATAGAAATAGCAGATTGTAAGGTAATGCAACATAAGTAACTATATTTCTTCATCCATGTCAAAACTTAAAGGTAGATCTAACATTGGTATGGCAACTTCTCTAGCTTCTGCTCTGCCCACATTTAGTGGCAACTTATCTGAAAATGTAAATTTCTTTCTTGATCAAATAAATAGTGTTGCTAAATTAGAAAAATGGTCAGAGAAAAGAAAATAATCATTCTGAAATAAACTGTAGGGATAAAGCTCTAGATTTCCTAATTAATGATCCAAGAGTGGCTAAGGAAAATAAATTTGAAAATTTAGAAAAATTATATTTTTAAAGAATAAATTTGCACGAGTTGAATCCTTTCAGGACATTCTACAGCAATTCTCAAACATTTCTCAAAAGTGTAAACCAATCTGTTAGGGAATTAGCTGACGAGATTACTACAACAGCGACAAAATACATAAATGAAGATTCAGGTTGAGGATTCTAGTTTACATAAATTAAAAGAGAAAATGAAGCTCACTAAATTTCTTGAGGCCCTCCGAGAACAGACATTAGGATTGAAGTTAAGAAATTAGGTCCATCTTCCTTTGATAAGGCTGTAGAATTGGCAAGTAATATATAGAAAATGCATTGAATGATGAGAAAAATATTTGAACAGTAAAAATGTTGAGCAAAATTTAGAGATTAATAATCTTCTCAAAGAAAGACTTGAACAGAATAAGATTATTCAGGAGCTAACAGATAAAGTAAATCAACTTTCTTCTCAGAAAATAAACCTATAAATACATCTTATACAAGAATAAATCACAATGCTTCTACATCTCAAAATTCTAGCAACTTTAATAGTGTATCTTGTCATATATGTAGCAAAAGACACTTAACAACAGATTGTTGGTATTTTCCTAGGCAAGACCAGCATAATTTTAGAAACAACACATTCAGGGGACACAGACAATTTCGAAACACTTGGCGGAGGAACTATCATCCTTACAGAAATAATAGTCAATACAAAAAAGGTCAGAATAAGCATTTAAACTAGCTAAGGATTCTTGCCAGATATATTACAACAAAAATTTTAGACCCCTTGCAAGAATCCGCAGAGACTGGGGTTATAAAGAACACCTGTATAGACATCATAATCCAAGAAAGATCCAAAGTAACAGCAATAATGTCCAACACAAGTTTGCAAAAAATAAAAGATGTAATAATAGAAACTCAATCAAATTGTTGATGTCTTGTAACTCAGAAAATTCTAATTATCTGCCAATAATCAAACTTAAAATTGGTTCTCAGACTTATGAAGCTCTTCTTGATACTGGTGCTAATTTATCTTTAGTCCAACCAGATGTTATTGAGGAAATTAAACAATTCACTAAAGTTGAATTTGTTTCTCGGATGGTAAGAATAAAAACTATTGAAGAGTTCATGCATCCCTTACATGTCTGCAGTTAATTTAAAATTCAAAATTTAAAGTAAATGTAAATGGTTCACTAATTTATTTTATGTCACCCAAAACAATTGGAATTCTACTTATCAGATAATCCTAGGTTATGACTTCATTCAAAGTAACAAAATTTTGTTAGATTCCATAAATAAGAAACTCATAGTAGATAATACTCATTTGGACTTTGAAGAAAATTATCCCAATAAAAAAATTAAGCAACTCAGTTAATGTAAGAAGAAAAAATTGTAATTTAAACTCATTAAGAATGGTTTCTAATATAACTGTCCAGCCAGGTCAATCTCAAATCATTTCTTTAGCTGTTCCTGAAGCTTTAAAACAATCCAAAGAAAGAAATTTTGCTTTCTCCAAAGCCATCAAAAAATAAGTTCCATATCAATGAATCTTTACATATAGTTGATTGTCACAACCACATTCAAACTATTGTTGAAAACAAACACCAATGAGAAATTGATTCTTAGGAAGAATTCTGTTATTGGAACTGCTGTGCCATTTCACTTTGAGGAGATTGTTTTAGTCCCAAAAGTCATGAGACTTTACAAATCAACACACTAAATCTGCAAGAAGTAATTAAACTTAGAAAAGAGGAACTAAATGTATCAGACTTTAAACTAGATCATTTAAATGAACAAGCAAAAAAATGAAATGATAGAATTGCTAATGAATAACTATGCTGTGTTTTCCAAATCATATAATACTTTAGGATCTACTGATAAAGTTGTACCAGAATTTAAACTTCTTCACAATTTCCCAATTCAAACTAGACCTTACCCTATTCCTAAATTGCAAAACAGTATGCTCAACAAGAAATTGCAAAATTATTAAAAGCAGGCATAATAGAACCCTCTTCTTCAAGTTATAGTTTTCCTGTAATATTTGTTAGAAAAAAGAATTTACCTGGTGAAGATAAAAATGCACCAAAATTTCGTATGGTTGTAGATTATCGTCTATTAAACTGTATCACAGAATCATACAAAATTTGTTTACCAAAAATATCTGAGATTTTGCATAACATTGCTGGTAGGTATACACCTCTAGATACAAATAATGAACCGGCAACGGTAGATAATCCTTCACAATACTTGTTACGTCAGAGAGAACACATTAAAGCAACTAGAGAATTAGTGAAACAAAACGAAGAAAGATATCCAGTCTCAAATAAAGTCGTTAAAGGCAGAGAACCACCAAATTTAATATTGGAGATGAGGTATTTTTAAAGGCTTTACAACCACCTCATGCTTTTCAGCCAAAAATTCAATGGGACCTTTCAAAATAATAAAAATTTTTCGAAATAAAAACTACTTAATTCAAAACATCGAAGACATACAAAAAACTACAAAAATTCATTGTAGCAAATTATTTAAAAGAGTTGATCCAAGGTTCAATTTGATTAATTAAGAACATTTATTTCATCGAGCTTGTTTTTCTTGTTCACTAAGTTAGAAAAAAATAAATAATTAGAAAAACATACAACACATTGTAAGTGTTAGGAAATTAGTGGATTTATTTCCAACAAAAAGAATTTTTTTTTTTGAGATTTCTTGATCAGTGTGGGTGTCGGTTGGCCACCTTCACTCACACGTTTTGGTTGGCTGCAGGCTGGTCCGGGTTTGACTAATGTCATGGAATTTACAAAAAAAAAAAAAAAAAAAAAAAAGTGTGCAGTACACTTAGTGATCATTACAAGTAACGAGCTAGACATGAAAATTGTGCTACTAAAACAAGCTTGAGTAGTAAAATATATATACATATATAACAATAATAAAAAGAGGAAGAAGAAAAATTGTGTTCAAAAAAAATGAAATTGTAGAGTAATTGGTCTAGATGAATTTAGTAATTTCAAGGGCAAACTTGATGTCATCCAAAGAATTTATAGAATCTGTATAATTAGAAACTTGTCAAGAAAATGATCATTAATGCAGAGTTGTGTTTATTAACAGTGAAAATGTATGAATGTAAAAATAGGCATTAGCTTACAATTTCCATTTACAAAGAGAAAATTGTAACTTGACTACAGATTGTAATGAAAGTGTATGCTGTAATTATATGAGTAACTTGTATGATATGTATTAGTTATTAATTTTTGATTGTACTTCATATGTGTAGCACTTATCCCAGACAGTGAAATTATGATAAAATAATTTTTGACTATTTTTCATTTGATTTAACTATTATACCAGATCATACATGTAATGAGTGTTGTGCGTCAGTAAATTTATCCTGCAATGAACTGTGTTTCGATGAAATTTATCATACAGTGTTCAGCGTCACTGAAGTGCATCTAGTGCAGTGTTCATGCGGTGGTGGTCTGTGCTTTTTCTTTGGCCGGAGGGAATGTGCTAGCAAGCCGGCATCTACCATCAGACGATATCGCTTCAAGAATTGTCATCGTATCGTCCAAGCCTTTGGTGGCAGTTGTTGGACCGGTTTTTTTCCTTTTCTGTGCTGGCTGGCGTTCGGGGGGTGTAGGACGGGCTTTGGTCTGTCCTCTCCCTGGCCGAAATATGATGTGCCATTTTTTTTCCTGCTTCGCTTTTTGCTGTTCCTTCAATGCTGTCTGCCATAGATGAAAATCCTTTTAGTGAGATTTTTACATGAAGATTCAAGAAAATAATTACTCCTGTTTCCTGTACATCATTGCAGAAAATAATTTTTTTTGAGGCTTCTTCCTCCTTTCCAGAACTCTTCGCGCGCACGTGTTTGTGAGATTTCAAACTTCCTGATTTAAAGAAGAAAATGCAGAAATACCAGAATACCAGGATTGATCAAGTATGCTTAATGACTGCCATCAAATTTTGATTGTTCCTTTTACACCAAGACTTTGTTTCGAGCGGATCCAAGATAGATTGACTTTATTTCTCCGTGCAGTGTTAACTCTCTGGTGATGCGCATCACTCGTGCTTGATGTTCAAATTTATTCGTCTTTATTTATATTAATACTTAATTCAATATCAAAGATGAAGAATAAAATATAATTGATTTGGTAACATACAGTTGTCATACTTTGGGGTAAGTACTTTATTTTGCTGTCCTCTGTGGGTCACATATTTTATCCCTGTCATTCGGGTTATTGCGGAAACAACGTGATGTACTCTTAATCATTGTTATAATTTCGCTTCGCTGATAATTACATAAGAAATTAAAAAATATAAATATTTTTACTACATACAAATATTTTCACTACTTATAGCTCTTCTTAATTAATATTTTCACCACATATGGTGCCATAATTATTTTTACTACATATACCACTATATTTTTTACTACACTAAGTAAAGTTGAGAAAGTTGAAAAAAAAAAAAAAAAAAAGTGTTTCGTGAGGCTTAAATTTTTGCGATTATGACGGGCTCGCGAAAATCCCGAAAATTAAAGCCTCGCGAAAATAAGGGCCTTTACAGTATTTAATTTCTCTTGCAAAATTTCATTCATAAAAATAAATAAATGAATTCAATTTTTAATAATTAGTAATTCAGTATTAAAAAATGTAATGTTTGTTCTGGCTTCCTAGTTTAGGATTTATTTATCCTAGTTTAGGATTAGTATGAGGTTTTAATAAAGTGTATTTTGTCATTTTTCTTAGATTACCATTGCGTTTTAAAAGTTGAAACTGTATATTTCCTTTTATTATTTCCAATTATGTTTTTATTATGTCTTTTGTTGTATCTAGAATGTTGCTGCACGGGGTTTAGATTTACTTCATGTGGATTGGATTGTTCAGTATTCAGCACCATCCTCTGCCGAAATCTATGTGCACAGGGTGGGGCGAACTGCTCGTATTGGCAAGAAAGGGAATTCATTATTGTTTTTACTTCCATCAGAGAGTAATTTTGCTCACTTACTTGAGCAGCACAAAATAAGGTAAAAATTTCCATTTTTAAAAGAAAAAAAGTCTTGCAATTTGTATTTAATCTGTAATTGTTGTTGCTAATAATAATAACAACAATAATAGAATTTTAGGTGTCATTTTCCCCATATCTTAGGGAAATGACTTTTTTATTATTATGGCACTTGTTTGCTAAGCACAAAGTTGATGCCATGATTATTGTTAAATACATGTTTACTTCTCACGTATACTTTGAGGTTTATATGTTCCTTCCATTGCATTTAGTATGACATCAGAAGCATTTTCTTATCCCAAGGGCTTTCATCACATAAACTCTGCAATGTAAGACTCATGATCGTAGTGGACCATGCCTCGCTGATTTTATTTCTGGTTTATTTTGTGTAAAATGTCCCTAACCTGCATTTCCCAATTTCTCTGTTTTATATACTCACGAACAGTCTGAATAATTCATCAATTTTTCTTGTATGTGGTCAACAATTTTTGCCATTTACTTCACATCACCTCACCACATCAGAACCTGAAAAAGAAGAAATTCATCAGTTTTTTTTTTTTTTTTTGGCATAACCTGCCAAGTATCCAGTATCGGGATAGAATCTTGCTGGCTTTGTTTTTTCCCTGTATGATTTTTTTGTTTGTAAAATGCATCTTTCTTGAAAGAAAAATATAACACCTTTCTCACTTTTTAGTGAATAAAAAATTAACTGCATAAAAAAAAATGGAAATATATTAACATGAGAAATACTCATTCTTGGGATGAGAGAATTATGAGTAATCATGAATTGTTAACTTGTATGAAAAAAAAATACGATAATATATGGTGTACTTGGAATTCATATAAGAACTGCTAGCCATTTGAAAATGGTTTACATTGGCGAAGAATCGATAATCTCTATAACATTTATGAAACATGTACCGTAATAATAAAGAAGTACCATGAATTGTATGTAATATAGAATAGAAGAGAAACATGCCAATGTGACAATTAAAATTGCAATAACAACCTTGTATTTAGCGTACATATATTAAAACACTCAATCGATTTCGAGGGCAGCTAAAGGTCCATCCTCATCAGGAGAACGAAATTACTAGAAAAGGGAAAAAGGAAGAAAAAGCATTGGCAAAGGAATCTCAGAAACACGTGGTCGTTATCAGCACACCACGTGGTCGTAATCGGATTTTTAATCAGATTTACACAGATTACACTTTTACTGAGCCAGGCTATCTGATCAAACAATAAAACATAGACTAAACAGGAGTGTGAAGGTGCAGTTGCCCCTCGCTCCCTATTTTTTGACTTCACTGATTTGTTTACTGTTTAGTCTATGTTTTATTGTTTGATCAGATAGCCTGGATCAGTAAAAGTAGGTGGCCAGTGTAAATCTGATTCAAAATCTGGTTATGACCATGTGTGTGCTAATAACGACAATGCGTTTCTGAGATTCCTTTGCCAATGCTTTAATTTTGTCCCCCCCTTTTCTAGTAATTTCGTTCTCCTGATGAGGAAGGACCTTTAGCTCCCCTCGAAATCGATTGAGTGTTTTAATATATGTACGCTAAATAAAGGGTTGTTATTGTGATTTTAATTGTATGCAATATATTGTTTTCATTTTTGTTTTAATATTAATGTGGTTTGCCCTCTGTAGAAAAACACAGTTAAAGCTATCATGTGGATACTGTAGCGTAAGAACATCCAATATAGATGAATAATCAGACCAGTGGTCTTTTAAATATTTATTTTAAAGCTTAACAAAGGTTTCTGGATTAATAAAAAGTAAAACATCTGTACAGTACAGCCATAACATACAAAACTTCCGCTTGATATGGCTTTAACAATCGCTTGCCACGACTTACCTACAGCATCCCTCTAAAACCATAATAATGCACAGAAAAGCCTCTTCCTTTCCTTTTATGTTAATTTCACAAGAAAACCAGATGGGGAGTATCCTTACGAGTTCCTTTGTTGAATTACCTTCTCCTCATTTAGCGGACACTTGGTAATTTTTCGCAAGGGAACCCACACAAGTGGGGTGTCTTTAACACATTTCCTTTGCTGGATTACCTGGTGATTAGTTCTCATGAGGACAGGAAGTTTTATAATTAAAACAGATGCTCCATCAAAAATGAGGATTGTTACGATAACTTCAAAATGTCTTATAACTTTTTGAAAGTCCAGAAATACAGGTAGATATTTATAATCTGTGAATGCTTAAAATATGTGCTCTTCATTTTTGTATATAAACAAAGGAAAGTTGATTTCTAGGAAATACAGCTTAATAAATTTAACGCCTTTTTTTAAATATATAAATATACACATAAACCTTTTAATAAAGGTACACTGAATTTATAAAATTGTTTACATGCACATCAGCATTTTCTTTTTGTGCTAAATGCAGATCATGAGTATCTGCTTTCGCTTCAGGTAAATCATTAGTTTTAATGTATATGTATATTCCATTGTTATTTAAATTAATGTTTAATGTATATTCCATTGTTATTTAAATTAATTTGAGCTTATATGATTAGCATATGCAAGTATTTATTTATTCCACAACATTTTAGATGTGAAGTTCCCTTTGTTTAGATGTGAAGTGTCCAATTTGTTTATATTCTACCAATGAATGGGCTTGACTATTTCATCAATCAACAGACATAGATTCTTAGTAGCACAATAAGTAGCACTTATTGTGATTATCTGGCATTAAAAACAGAAAGCATGGTTACCAGCAGTTAAAAAATTTAAGAAATTTTCTTAAATAGTAAACTTATTTATTTATCTATTTTTTCTGTAATTTAAGAGCATAAAAATTACTTTAAAAGTAATTTTACTGAAGTCACAAAGTTTTCTTCTAAAATACCGTACAGTCTTACAAAGGAGCCCCCTTTTTTTTTCTAAAAATTTCTCTTATTTATCCTCTATCCCCATAACATTTTCAACTAATATTATTTTCTTTGCATATTAATGTATTAAAATATTTAATAGTTTTGTATTCTATAAAGTTTGATTAAATAATTAAGGTGTGTCTGTCTCTTGATTAGTTATTTGTGTGCTCACAGTTCAAATGTAATGTAAAAGTTAGAAAGAGAAAATGTAAACAAAACTCAGGAAGGCATAATCTGTAAACCTCACCACTCTTGGATTCAAATTTTATGGATTGTTGTAATTCTGCTATGATTTCATTATACATAGCTTATTACATTTTATCCAATTTATTCAAGAGAAAAATCTCTGCCTTTTTCATTTTGCACTGACTTTCGAAAGTTAAGCATGCAATGCAAATTAGCAGTTTTCAAAAGTGTAGTTGAATTTGAGTGACTGAAAACCACTGGGGATGCAGATAACAGTATTCAAATATACATTACAGCCATTCATGACTGACTATCTGAACTTATGCCAATTGGATAGTCATTAGCAACACCAGCATTCTGAAGTTGTTTGAGGAGATTTATTTGAATCCTATATGAAGTGTTGATAAGATTCATAGAATAATTTTTCATGATTTTCATGTTTCTATGGCTGAAAAAAAAAAAAAATGAATTGCAGATAGTGAGCACTAGTATATTGTCAGACACGCAATGAAGCAAAACAGTCAATCAAAGATGTCACTGTTTTCTTCGGTGTTGATCATTTGGTAATTTCACAAATGTGGAAACAGCTTTAAACAAGTCAAACAGTCCAGAGACCTTTGCCTAGTTTCCAAGTGTTATCACCCTTTCTGATAGGTTTATTGCTGTAGTGTCCATGCAGAGTTGAGTTATCTCTACAACTGCTATAGCATCACTTGGTAAAATACAGTATCTGCCAGTACTGTATACTGAAGGCTTTAGATGAAAGGAGCTGTACACCCAATTGCCAAATGTTTGCATTCTGTTAGCAACGTAGTCCGGAAAAGTAGAATTAAAATGATATTGTCAACATCTCAATTGGACTGTTCATGTATAAGTTCATATTTGCTCTGGGATCAGAAGATGATCATGCAATGGTCAGAAGAGAACAAAGCATATGGTATTAGGGCAACAACATCATTGAATATCGCATTGGGAGATGGGCTAGAATTGCTGCACATCTTTAAAGACAATTTTGTGATAGCTGTGCGATATCAGATGAAGTTCTCTTCCCCATTATGAGATTACAGTGCAGCAGTTGGTCTCGATTTATCCTAATGGATGCTAATGCCTGTTCCCAGTGAGGCTGCAACATTAATAAGTAGTGATGGCATTTTTCATTTGAAGTAGCTGCCATATTTCAACAACCTTAATCTCATTTAAAATCTTTAGTATGCCATTAAACATGCTTTTTCTTCATGTTTACCTCCTCCAGCCAATCTCAGACAATTAGAAACTGCCTTAATGGAGGAATGGCCATTGCTAACATCTGTGACAGTTGATCACCTCAATGAAAACATTTGCAGTCACTGTAAAAATTGGTTGAAGGTCTGGGGTGGTCACATACCTTATTAATGTAGGTTTTGCTTGTTTGTTTTTAGCTTTAAACATCAGTTTGTGAATGATTCTAATGTGAAGTCATCATGTCATCGTACATAAACACATTTGCTATTTTCATGTGCAGTTTGGTGTTATCCAAAGCTTTTCTTTCCCAGTTTTTATTTTTTTAACCATTGCATGCTTAATTAGCCTAGTTAGTATAGCTTGTTTCCTTACCCAGGGGGCGGGATTGATTTCCAAAAACATTTTAAAGCTTTTATTAAAATGTTAACCAGTGCATTTAAGTGAAATCTGTTATCTTTTTCTACTTCATATGCAATCTTGTCTGTATCTTAAAGGATTCTGTTATAATTGTTGCAATTTAAAGAATGAAATCAAATTACCTTTCTTGTTTGGTAACCTGTTCTTGAAATTCTTCAGCAATGCTCATTCCAATTGTTTATTCCGTATTGTTTTAATTGAAATGTGACATTTCTGCCAAATAGATCATTTCAGAAATGGCAAAGCTGAAAAATGATTGTGATGATCTCCCTAGTTAAAACTGTTAATCTGGTAATGAAAAATAGACTTAATTTCATTTTATCTGAGTGAAACTATGGTTAAGGAAACAATGTGCGTACTTGAAAAAATTTAACTTAACAAAAGTTGAATCAGCAATTATTTCAAAAAAGTATGCCAGAAGTTATTTGATGCACGATGCTGTTTATCACATGGTCCGATCTTGCATTGTTTTCGAAGTAACCAATGATGCAGCTCCTAGAGATGCAGGCTGACTCATCAGCCATGTCATAATCATTTTTTAGGGTTGCAATTCAGGTTTGGTGTGCCCTCTTTGGCTTTTCAGCACTATTGTTTCAAAGTTTTATCTGTGAAAAGCCTTCAAAGGGTATCATTTCATTTTACTTCCTTTATAAAAATAGCTAATCTAAAAGACACATTCCATTCACCTAAATCACATTAACATGTGAAAAATATAGGTGAAGAAAGTTTTGTATATATACTGAGAAAAAAGTGATCCAAAAAACATTTTAAAGCAAAAAAAAAAAAAAAAAAAAAAAAAAAAAAAAAAAAAACAAAAAAAAAGAAAAAAAAAAGAAAAAAAAAAAAAAAAAGAAAAAAAAAAAAAAAAAAAAAAAAAAAAAAAAAAAAAAAAAAAAAAAAAAAAAAAAAAACAAAAAAAAAAAAGAAAAAAAAGAAAGAAAAATGTACATTATATCTTTATTACAACTCAAAATTGTAAGGCAATATATTCTAAAAGGAAAAATTATATAATACATAATGATATAAATTAAAATATGTAATAAATACATAAAACTGTTATCAATGAATAATGTTCAAACTATATAATAAATGCCAACACAAATCACATCGTGGTGCATATAACACTGCTATGAAAGGAAGGATATTTGATTAGAAATATTACCTTTTATATTTATTTGATAATATAGAAGAGTAAAATATAAAGATGACGAGAAGCTATGAAAACAAGTTATGCAACTTAAGAAACAGTAAAAAGCCCTTTAATTTATTGCTATATCATAAGACACTAATTACCAAGTAAATGTCATTTTTTCATTCATTTACATCAGTAATAAGTTTTTCATTAAAACTTTTAGCAGTGAATGCCAAAGCAAATTTATTATTAATGCCTTTGATGCAAGTTCACACAAAAATAAACTTGATTTAGCAAATTTCTGAAAACATTAAAATCAAAAGTATTAAACTACAGTAACATATCTTATTAAATTTTTTTAATTACACATTACGAAAGCAATTATCTGATAAATTTTAATTGTGATAGGAAAACTGAATTAAATTAAGAATGAATGACTAAGCTTCTACAGCATTTTAAAACATATTTCATGTTCATACATTATAAATAAAATAACAGGAATTGTACTTAAATGAAAGAACTGGAAATATAGTCTACATGATGTATAAATTATAGTCAAAATTATTCGTTAAATACTTAAATTGATGCTTACCTTTTTCAGATTGAATATAAATGTGATATATTTATGTTACTTTAAAGGAAGCATTATATAATGCATAATTTTAATCATTATATCTGATGTTTATTTTATTTTATTTATTTATTTATTTATTTATTTTGTACATTGGGGGCAGCTGATAGTTTTGGCAACAATGTAACTGGATCAAAAATAACATATGATTTTAAAGCAAATCAAATGTAAAATATATATCTTTAAAATTTATCCTTTTGTGATAATAACAATAAAAAAATTGCATCGGCATTGACTTATTGACTCCATAAGTCAGTATCTGTGTATTGAATCTACAGACACATTCTGAAATTCATGTTGCACATATAAATCAATTTATCATTAATTAGCAATGTGTAAATGAAAAAACACATTTTGCTGAAACATGAACACATATTTTTTTTAACAATTATGAAAACGTAGGAAGCTGAACTTACTTCAAAAGCGAAAGCTCCTATGCTTGGAATCCATTCCAATCGACGAGAATTAATTACCCATTTTCTTCGTATTTCTTCATTTCTCAGAAAATAGAACATACTAAAGTTAATTCTGGAACAATATGAATAATTTGATGCAGCGTATCCTCCCATATTTCTTGGAATCAAGTCGCAATCCATCAATACAAATGTAAACAACACAATACTAAATCAATATCCAATAGCAACAAGTACGCTTTATACAACACAGATGATGAGTCAGCTCCCCTTGCTAGGATCCTTATAACCCTATACTTTGATATAAATTGCTGTCCAATTTTTATATAAATTGCCCTTAAATTGTAAGTACCTTAGCACAATTAAATTCTGTCATCATGACAGCACAAACAGCACAGCCACCATATTGAATCGATCATTTTCATCACGGAATGATGGGTTCAGAATGATTGCTATGAGAACGATTGATCACAACCTCAGAATGATCGTTATGTTTAAATTGAATACCAAAACCAATCGCAACTGATGACGTAACATGACTAGTGATCACTAAATATTTCAATTGAATGAGGCCTTGTAACTAAATACAGCTAAATAAAAGGCTGACTGCATTCTTTTCTGAAAGTATGAAATAACCCTCATCCTGGTTGAGAACCTGTGATCTAGATAGACCATCTTATTTGTATAATTCTGCCTTGAAATTAGAATGTAAAAGATACAAGAGCTAGATATTCCAGTCTGAAAACTAATAATGAATATTTCCTTTACATTTAATTTTTTCTAGATTTTCACTAAATTTCTTATTCAGTTGTCAAGTAATGCCCCCTGCAGTAAAATTTTTAAGTTATTAATCTAAGAAGTTATTTTGTATCTTCTTGTTTTTCTTTTAAATACCAGCAAAAGAAATTTTCAAAATTCATTATTTTACTTCTTCATTATTTATTATTTTGCTTCTTTCTATTAATTTTTCATTTAAAGCTTTATTTCTTCATAAAAATTTCTCTTTTAAAAATCATAATAAATAAAATTAAGTGAAATTTAAATTACATGGTTGGGACCTTCCCCTCTTTTTTTTGGGGGGGGAGGGGAGGGGAGGGCGGGGGATAAGTTTTAACATTCTATTACAGATTCTCTGAAACCTAGAAAAGAGCCATATTTCTTATCTGTCTTTCTTAATCAGCAAGTATATTAAATACTTTCACAATATATCTTATGTGTGTGTTAAACTGAAGACAATTTTTGAAATTATAATTATTGCTTAAATAGATTTATATGCCTTTTTTTAAGAATTATGTATTTAATAAACAAATGGTTTTCCCTTCCTTATATAGCTATGATGAAATTCTGGCTAGCAAATTTTTACAGTCTATTTTATTAGTGAACGAGGTTCTTTCACCTAAAAGCAAGGTAAGTATTAGTTGTATATTAGTGTTAAATGTCTGTTTGCTTGTATGAACTTGAAAGAGAAATTAATATATATTAAATTCTTTCATTTTATATTCAGAATTGCTATGACTATGAAACAGTGTGTTTTAAAACATTTTTTTAAATAAGTTTTCTTTGTTCTGTAACATTTGACTATTTAATTCAAACAAAATTCACTCCCCATCTTTGTCATGTGGGTTAGGTTAAATTAGGTTAATTGATTAAGGCTAAACAACTTGAAAGCTATCTGCCTGTGGGGAGGGATGCCTTCATAGATAACTTTTTAAAGCAAACTGGCTCGAATCCTTGTTCCATGAAGCATTTTCTTGAAGCTTATTTAAATCAAATAAAATTGCATCTAGGGAATTAGAGTTACCAAGATTGACTTTCCACAGAATGCTTCAATGGCATTTACAGGTGTATGCATAAAAAGTTCAGATTTTCCGTATCATTAAACTTGCAGATCATTCAAAATATTATCAGTTTGTGACTAATGTGCTGAATCATATAGATAATGGATACATTTTTTTTTTTTTTTTCCTGAAGAAGGATATGTCTAGTGATAAATCAACATTAACTATTTTAAAGTCAGGCATCATGTTTGGATGGTTGCAGAACAACACATGGTATGGGAAATTGAATAGAACTGTGAAAAAATGGAACAGTTAGTATTGACTTCTCCAAAATCAATTAATCCCCTACCTTGGAATGAATGTTACTGGATGAATTGGAGATTAATAATTTCATCTAAAATGAATATATTTTCCCAGCAAGATGGTATGTCTACACATTAAATGTTGACAGTACTAAATTCATTTAAGAATCATTTCCCACAGTACTGAACCATGTAAATGGAAAAGCTAATTTCTGTTCCCCAGTCAGTCTTTGAGCCATCTGTATAAATTTTGATCTTGCCTTTTCGGTGTATCTTGACAATTTTTTAGTGTTATTAATTAAGTTGAATGCTGTTAATTAATTGGCCAGATGATAGAATTTGTTCATATAACTGATTCATAACCTGACTGATAAAAAGCATTGCCCCGCAGATTGGTTGACTGTTTCAATCTGGTCATTTTTTAATATAAAATCTATCTTTCTACTGTGAGATCCAGGGTTGAAATTTATGCAGTTCTATTTGAGTATTGAGTATTATTCTCTGTGACTATGTGGTACCAGTATTGTTGTTGCCTTGCCTACTCTTAAAAGTTACCCAGACAGTATTATGCCTTCATTTCAAGGCCACTCCTATCCACTAAATCGTTAGCCTATGAAATTACTCGTGCATAGAGGACAGTATTAAAGCATTAAAAGGCTGAATTTGTGACTATGCTTCACAGGGTCGGACAAACGTACAATCCCTGTGGACAGCCTCTTGCAATTTCTTTGACCATGATGCCACCGTATTCTGTTATTTGCATCTTTTTGTTCTGGTGGTAGGAATGAATGAGAGTCCTGAAATCATTGGCCATCTCATTTTATCCAGAGTGCTGATTACAATCGGCCACCAGAGAGACTCCCTAGATGTCAATAGCTACAACCAGAGCAAGCAGCCTATTTTACTTATTGTTTGATGTTATGAATATGAGATTGCTCATTATCTGGGAACAGTTTGGTTTTAATTCATATTGATTTGGATGAAATGTATTGAATAAAGTAGATGAGGTAGGAGAGGATTGTAATACTGTATAAGACTTTGTTTAAGGAAGGCAAAAAGCACATTGTAGGCGTTAGTGACCTAGTGCATGTGTGCCAGATTTGCCATGCAGTATAATTATCAGTTGCACTCTGCAAAGTTATCTGCAAAGTTATCAATCAAGATAAATTTCCCTATCTCTCCTGTATGCACAGTCAAAGATAAATTTCCCTATCTCTCCTGTATGTGCAGTCAAAAAAGTTTAGTCACAAAAATTTCACTCACAGCACTTAATTTCTGTAAGGAACACTGTTGTTAAAACAGTTAATTTCGTAGTGTCTCATTCTTCATTGGTACACAGGCAATGTAAGTCTCTTTTAGAAGAAATAGAAAGCAAATATATGGATCATCCCTTATACGGCCATGTTTATTGGCTTTGTTGAGGTAATGTCTTGAATAAGTTTGTGTCGTGCACGGAGCACATTACTTTTCTTAATGAGAAGAATCAACTTTTCTCCAAATAGAACAATAAAGAATGGTTATGCAAATTGGTACTTCTCACTGATATAGCTCAACATCTCAGTGAACTAAGGATTGCAAGGAAAGGGCCAAACAGTGCTTAACCTGAGTACTGGAAACACTTTGTTACAAAATTAAATATATTTTCCTGTGACATTAATACTAGTACCTGTAAAGGGCCATTCCCACTGGAGTTTGTCTGAGCTAACAGAGTCAGTTCCATGTGTCAACTAGCTTCACTATGCCTGCAGTTCAGATTTTTCAACTTGCTGCCCTATGGGAAAAACTGGTTTTGGAGATGGATCAGCTACATCAGCTGTGTCCGTTAGCTCTGATAAACCCCAGTGGGAATGGTCCCTAACGCCTTGGCCTACATGATATCTGCCAATTGCGCAAGCAATTGCGTAAACAAGAAAGTTGATTGCGCGCCGCGCCATTCAACTATTCAGCTGTATACCCAAACTGGTATGAACTGGTAAAAAAACAAAAATGTATAATTTTCATGACATATATATTTCAGTGTAATGAAAAGAATTGTGAAATAATAAACAATATTTAAGTACAAATAGTAATTTTAACCCTTAACTTCCCATTTTTTAAATTTCTATGAAAAAATTATATTAGCTACTTCTTAAGTAATAATAAAAGGGAAAAATATTTTTTAAAAAAATTAAGCAGTTTTAAATTGAATTTCAGTCATTTTTTTGTTTGTTGCAGAAGTGCAACATTGCGCAGTAGTGCTGTAAAATTACAAAACTTTTTTTATATGAGGATTTTATTATTCATTGTTATAAATTGCTTTAGCCTTACATACAATGAAAATTTTTAAAGCAGTTATTGACTTTGTTGTAAAAAGTCCCCTACTTTACACTTTTCGCACTCAGTTTGAGTGTAGCTCTTGCAGTTTGGAAACTTGCACAGTATTCTTTTCTGATATATTGGCCAATGATTTATACCATCTGTACGAATGTCCTTACATGGAACAGACTGGGGAGTCCCTTTGTATCTTTTAGTCTGAGACATTTGTTCTGTTGAAGTATTACTAGGTCTTCTTCTTTTAGCATTTCGATCGTACCCCATTTTGCGTAAGCATGATGAAACTTCAGATTTGAATTTTTGTATTCCTTAGATTTTTTTATTTTTTTTATTTTCAGATTTCTTCATTGTTTCTTTAATTCGATCAAATCCAAGCTCTTCTGACCAGTATGTTCTATAGTTTTGGCAGGTGAACTAAAGATGCATAAATGCAAATACCCAAATATTGATTTATTTCATTCTCTGATATAGTCAAATTCTTACTTGGATTCTTTTGAATAGCATATTGTTTGCTGTCTTCATAAATGTTACTTATGATCTCTTCCGTCCATAAATATTTAAAAAATTGGTACATAGTGTCCAAATCCGTAATTTTTCTTTGAGGAGCATGTCATCTCTATGGAATTTTATTACTTCTTCAATCAATGAAATGTTTTGATTTTTCCATAAAATATTCTTTGGCAATGTTTTATTATTCTTAACAGTTAACTTTAAAAAAGGTTTTCTGACTGAAATATACCAGCGGCTAAGCGGTAAAGTCTCTAAACACTGGTAATTCAGTCCGAGGTTCGAATCCCGCGAACGGGGTTGGCTGCGTGGTCGTTTTTTCCATGTGTAACTTGTATACAAGCCAGTTCCCCTTAGAAAATCCTCCAAGAAGGCATCCCTCCCCGTAGGCAGATAGCTCTCGAGGCTTTGCCATAATCACACACACACACTGACTGAAATATTTCTATCAAATTTATTATCATCATCATCAGATTTTTTTATATTCTGAATTCTATTTTGTGAAACAACACTATTTGCACGGTTGCTATCCAAATCATCATTAGATGACACACAATCAGGTAAAAAATTAACATCATCAGCAGAATATTCAAGACCATCCTCACTTAAATCACTTAATTTGTCCAAATTATTCATATATCTAGGAATTTCATCTTGGGTTAGTATACGCGTTTTGGCCATGTCAAAATGGTAACCAAAGACCAATGTTGCAGATCTGCAACATATAATTAAAATCAAATTTCTTTCAAACTTTTTCCATTAGAAAATCAAAATTACTTTTAAATGAACATAAAATGTTTAAATTTCTTACCTGGTAATTGTTTTCATCAATAAACAAGAGGAAGCATAAAATATAATGGATTCTTTTTATAGCAGAAACACAGTTCTTGAGGCAACAGAGATTTTTATAATTGTTGTGATTTCTGGAAAAAATGTGCTGCTATCTAGTGACAAAATTAGCATGTATTTCGTTGCAGTAATCTTTTTTTTTTTCTTAGATAAGTGATTTGTAGGTAATTAAAAAAAATATTGAGTCTGTTACATTAAAATAAATCATATGTTGCAGAAATGCAACGGTGGGAAGTTAAGGGTTAAGACGTCTAGGGTGTAATCATAATCAATTAATCAGTTGCCAAAAATAATTGCATGGTGGATATAAGAGTTTTTTAATTCTTTATACAAAATTATATTTGAAATGTGTGAACGTAACGAAGCTTTACAGGGATTTAAAGTAACAGATCATCCAGTTTCATCAGAAACAACTGAAAAAACAAAATACTGACGTTACAATCAAAGGAAAAATATTCGATGTAGAATAACTCCAATCGCTTGTCCTAATAAGAATATGTGACATTTTATGCACAAATTCCTCACCAGGAGTCAGACTCGTGGCTTTTGTTTATGACACAAATTCTTTACCACGAGTCAGACTCGTGGCTTTTGTTCATGGCACAAATTCTTTACAAACTTCAAACCTGCATTGAAGCACTTTTGAAGAAAGGAGGAATTTTCCAAAAAATGGAAGGACTTTGTGCCTATATTTTCCTTTAAGCTTTATGCCTATATTTTTCTTCCTAATAAAACCAGATTTAATATATACACACACACATATATATACATATATATAGTAAACAATTAGTAAGAATAAATTCAAATTATCATAAAAAAGTGTATTAAATATCACTGTGTTTGATACTTGTGATGTGATAATTTATTTGTTAGACAACTGCTGAGGAATGTGCTACAGCTTTACATGCAAAATATGAAAATGAAGTGTATTCTGAAAGTATCCTCCATGATGAAGCAAAAGAAGGTAAGTAAAACAGGTGTTTGGTTTCATTTCTAGTTTCCCTTTTTGAATTTAATTGTGACAGTAATTTATTGAATATAATGCATACAAATTGTGAAATTTTATAAATAAGTTTGACACGTTGACAGTCATTAATGCATTATTGTTCACACAGTAAACTTCATTGCAATTTTATCCAAAAGTATTGGCTTCAGTAATAAAGACATATGTCAATAATAAAAATTGTAAATGAATTTTTTTGAAAATATATTTAATGCGAAAATGCTTAAGACGAAATATTAGTTAACACGAAATAATACAACAGTCCCGACAAACTACTATGTATTTTCATGCATTTTGTTTCTCTTAACACGAAAAGATATCCTTTCTGGGAATGAACATAATACGAAAGACATTAGCCTTGCAGGTGAGATTTAAGCGGTGTGTGAAATGAAAGAGAGGTGGTTTGACATGGTTCCTAGAAAGGAGGCTAACTTGGTTTTGAAATACCCTTGGAATAGCCTGTGACACGAGTCAGTTTTGTTTATCTAAGATATTATCACCTACCACCCCTACAAACACCACAAAAACATCTTATCTTTCATCAGTTGGCTTTGGAATTCAGTGACGAGTACATCGGAGTGTGAGTAAATATTAGTGAGTTTGGTTCATATGTCTGCATGTCTCTGTCTTTTCATATGTTGCACTCTGCATGGAATTCAGTGACTCCAAGGATGAAGGAAAATTGTTTTTGTCATGCATGATTCTCAAAAGTATCAGATTCTTTGGCACCAAAAGAAATGGAGAAGGAGGATATTAAAACTGAGCCCATATTTAAATAAATGTTTGAGAAATTTTCTGTATTAATGGACTGTCGTACTGTATTATTGGAAGAAATCACTGCAGTAGTTAATGATAATGTGTGTACAGTCCCAATTATGGCAGACAGACATTTTGGAGTTTGTTCAAAGCTAAAAAAATATCATTAATGCAGATTCCGATGATGAAAATGAAATGAATAATACAGCTCCTGTTCCCTTTGTCAGCCAAAATAAGGAACATCATAAAAAGTATGCACAGTTATTTAGACACGCATTTTCCAATGGTGAAATGAATAACAAAATGGACGACATTGAACAATTTGATGCTAAAAAAGATGCTGCAAAGAAAAATAGGAGATTATTTTCCAAAAACTCAATAAACGTTTTATTTTTCTAAAAATTTTGTATTAAATTTCATTAAGTTCTTGTGGATGTTTTTGTTTCATTAATTTTTATTAAATACATGCATATATACATATCTATGTAAATACAATGTACTCTAATAAACTTAATTTTGTTTATGTTTTTTTTTCCAATATACTTTAACATGGAAAAAAATTTCAGTCCCGTCAGTTTCGTGTTAAATGTTTTTCACTGTATTTCTTTATGAAATGAAAATGTTAGAATTTTTTTTAGATAAATATGAAAACTAAGTTGTAAATCTTTCAGAGTTTTGAGTTGCATGACTGATCTGAAATTTAGGTATAGTTCTCAATGTTTAAACAAGTTGTTGTGCCATGCCATATGCATTTAAATGAAATTATCATGTGTTCTGGGCATTAAATCATATTTTCAAAATTATCTTCAGTTCCAGATTTAATAAATTGTAATAATTTCATATAGAGTTCAAAGCTTTTTACTTTTTTAATATTAAAGCATTATCTGAAAAATTAAAAAGAAAGAATAGGTTATAAAAAGCACACTTGACCGCTAAAAAATTAAAAATGCATTTTCAGTCTAACACTAGAATCTCTGATATCCAAATTTTGCAGCTATAATATTGCTAATATCTGCTGCTTTAATTATTTAAATGCCCAGATTATTGCTTTAAAATTTTTGATGTTGAGAACTTTGTATTGCAATTTTGAATTTCTTTTATATTAATTGAAAAACTCCATTTGCAATTAAAGTAATTATGCATACTAAAAGTAATATATTTTAAAACAAATCTTTGAAGAAAATTACTATAAAATGGTTCTATTATCTTACAACAATTATTAGGTGCATGAATAACTTCAGTTTTTGCTAAAAATTTTAAAGATTGGCACAAAAGAGAAGGCAGGGAAAAGTGTGATATGAAATAACCAAAGTCTTAAAATCATTTGTCTTTAAAAAGTCATGTTGATAATAGTGGAAAAATTAAAGCATATGTAGAAAATAAGCTGTTCAACTAATGTTTCCAGCTGTGCTATAAATTGGTGACTGAACAGAAATAGCTTAAAAACCTATAGGCCTGTGTGAACCTTTCATTAATGGAAAACAGAAGGTTAACTGAGTATGTGGACTGAGTATGTATTAAGATCATGCAGGATGGACTGTGGACCAAAGATATATAGGCTACAACTACTGTGGATTCCCCGTACTGTGTTATATGAAAATTTCTTTAAAATCTACAAGTAATAGAAAATATCAGGAAAATTATAGATTTTGCTGAAAGGGGAACAAGGGAAGTGGTACGTAAAAGAGAATTAATTTATTCCTTCGATGATTGGAGAAATACTCATGACATTATGTATCACATATTAAGTTGATAGTTTTGTTGATTTTGTCAGTAATCACTCGTACTTCAGAAAATTCTGCTCCTTAGCTTTTCAATCAAGCACCCTGCATTGAAGGCCTGGTTTACCTTGCAGATTTCATTTGATTATATTATGGATAGAAAATAAGACACATGGCTCTTATGAGTTGCAATTAAGCTGGGATTTTTAAGTTCATGAATAATGCCACCTCAAAATAAGAGGTTAAATTATCAAGACATAACTTTAAAGATTCATACTGTACAGAATTTCAGTGTTTAAAGTATCTGAAATTTCTATAATCATGTATTTTGTACTAGCAATAAAGATAGCAGTTGTGCATAGCCACAATGTAAATTATACAAGCAAAAGCTGAATGGCATTTTGCACACAATGTATTCGGTACTTTTATGCATTGCAGCTCAGGTTTAGAATGTAGAATTAGCTTACATTTTTTAATCCCAATCTAGTCAAGTGAAATAGTTTTTAACTTTAGCCCTTTAGTCAGCAGGGTTTACATGTGAGATACTTTTCTATACCTAAGTGAATGCAAAAATTAAATTCACTGACTGAAAGAATGAATTATATGCAGCTATTATTTTGCATTTTGTTTATATTGCTATATCTTCTTGTTTGTGAAGAAAGAAGTTCAGGAAGTAGGAACAGTAGTTTGCTTGCAGCAAACTAAGAATGTTTTTCTGTTTTTACCCCTCAATTGCAGTTTTTTTAATGCATTGCAGTTTTTCAGATTTATAAAATTTTTTTTTTCCTTTTTTATTTCTAAGAAATTAATTCTTAATTTTTTTCCTTTCAGCCTTTGCTAGCTATGTTCAATCATATGCATCTTACCCAAAAAATATTCGTCATATATTGCCTTTTAAAGCTCTACATTTAGGTCATGTTGCCAAAAGTTTCTGCCTCCGGGAGGCCCCATCTGCTCTTGGCTGTAATATTCCCAATGCAGAACGACCAAAGCAAAGGTAATTTATGTTTATTCGCAACATTAATGTATATAAAAAAATAATAACAATACATAGCTGTCAACTCTCCTGGTTCCGCATCTACATCTCCCAGTCTCAGCAGATCACCAAATCTCCCAATTTTTAATATTTAGTTACTAAAGAAAATGTTTTCCTGCAATAAATGAAATCTCTTCAGTTCCTGAATAATAGTATAGGTTTCATTTCTATACTTTTAATGATTTTTGGCATAATTATTTTTATTAAATTTTATTTCATTTGAATTATCTTAATCTACTGTAGACATTATTGGAACCTTTTATAAAGATTAAACCAATTAATCAGTAAGTGTTTGCATTTAATTTTGTTTTACATCAATAAATGGTACATTAACTGCTTCCCTTGCAAATTTTTTTGAAAAAAATTGCAATAAATCATCACTTTTTTTTAATTTTTATTATTAAATATATAATACAAATCAAAATATGTAGGTTTTAAAGTTGAATTTTTTAATTTTTTGAAGGTGTAAAAGCATTTAGTTTTAATATTAGTTTACTATCCTGAGTTATCTCAGGCAAACGAAAAAAAATTAAATATTAGTCTTTGTATGATAGTTTTTGAAACAAGGGACAACACAAAGTGATACCTGACATTCTACACTGGTATCGGGTCTCTTTTCTTACTGGCTTACCGCTGGAATCTCTTTCACGGGAGCACAGAGTACATTGTCTCATTGGATTCGATTTAAAAAAAAAAAAAAAAATTTCTTCCACCTCTTCTTAATCACTATCTGAAAAATCATCACTTTTGCTATCTTGCATCATCGCCATTATTATATTTTTTTTTAACACATGTATCCTTTTTTATACATTACTAACCCACAAGCCGACATATACTATACAATAGAGAAACATACGACCAGTCCCTCCAAATTAACCGCACAACCAACAAAATTTGACAAACTGCCAATCAAAGCTGAATATTTCCTTTCATTTCTTCCAGGCCGAGTAAAACTGCGATAAAACAAATTGTACTAACAAATTCTGCTTTGCCCGAGTTTTCACGGGATAATAATTAACTGCAATATATACGAACCCGTGGTAACTCGGGACAATCAGGCAAGTGGTTAAGTTTATCCACACAATGGTATGTAGAAAATTATAACTTTTATTTTTGTCATATTTAAAAAATAATTAAAGTTTACTTACTTTTTTAAAATATGACTTTTTAAATAATTAAAAGTGTTTCAATAAAATTTAAATGTAATTAAATGAAAATTTTTCTTTTCCTACAATTTATATTATGAAATTAAATAATATTCTAATATATTTTATATTAGAATCATATTATATATAATTCAGCAATTGAATCATGCATTGTAAAGTGAATTTAAGTTCATCTGGATTCTTTTGAAATCCTGTCACTCTGCAACATGGAAACTTCTGAGAAACTCTACGTTTTCATATGAAGAACCTCTTGGTTTAATCATATTTCAAGATTGACAGCTATGAAAATATTTCCATATATGTTTTACATTATAAGATTGATTACTGAATTTCTCATTATAATCTTCTAACATAAGCTACATTGTTAAATTGTGTAATGATCTATAGTGTGAATTTATCAGTTTGGCTATATTTAGTTAGTAACTTACTAAGATCGTAACTAAAAACATCATCAAAATTATTATTTTCTTGTTAATGGGATGCCTCTTAGCATCAAACATAAACATTGGCACAAAATTTAACTAGATGGTGGCAAACCTAGTAATATACACTGGTGCCATTAAAATTGTGATACCAGGAAGGAATGATCAGACGAACCTCAAAATCACATGAAAGGAAGAAGAGGTTGGAATATGCAAATGATTAGTATTTCAGTGCATTTAGACAATGCAGGAGGGAGAAACGACATCTGAAGCACTGCATAAAAGAAAAGTTGTGTAGTGGATTTCTCATTTGGAAAGTACTTTGTAAGGTCAGAGTTTGCTCAGAATATCATGTTATGCTCAAATACAAAGAAGAAGGCTTACCAGAAAGTGTCTGAATTCGACAGAGGCAGAATTATTGTCTATCGAGAGTGTGGGCTTTCATTCCATAACATCGCCCGTCACACCGGTCGACATCGAACCACTGTCATACAAATATAGAATCAGTGGGTTGCTGAGAGTCATACTGAATGGCTAGGATCTCAATGCTCTCCCATGAATAATGCTCGAGAGGACAGACATATTGTGAGATCAGCCCCGTAAAACTGTGCAACCACATCACAGACCATTAGTCAGGAAATGGGCATGTTTGCAGTAGGCCTAGTATCCACTTGTAAGGTGTGTCGACATTTGCAGCAGTGTGGTCTATCAGCATGGTGACCATTACTTTGGCTTCTCTTGACAGTACAACATAGATAGAGACAGTGACTCTGTTGTGTCAAACGGCAAAGCTGGATACAGGGCCCCGTCTTTTGAGCTATGGGGACACTCATGTCCAGGTGGGCTAAAGGGAACCTCCAATTCTTACAGGAGTGGCACAAAGTCATCTTTTCAAATGAGTCCTAGTTCTGCTGCAGTATTCTGATGGCTGTATACATGTCTGGAGGCTTCAAAGAGACCACACATCTCTTGCTTGCATTCGGTATTGGCATATGGGCCCTGCACCTAGTGCGAGGGTTTGAGCAACCACTGCGTACATGACATGCACATCTCTAGTTCAGATCAATGGTAATTTGAACGCATTTCAATACATATCTGATATCTTACATCCAGTGGTTGTGCCCTATCTTTGAGGCCTGCCAAACATCATCTTCCAACAAGATAATGCAAGACCACGTAATGCACGTCGTGTTCTGATCTTTCTCGATATACATGGTATTCGATTGCTGCCCTGTCCTGCATGGTCTCCAGATCTGTCACCCATTAAAATCATCTGATCATGGATTGGTGAAAGACTGGCCCACCATCCCTCTCCAGCTAACACGGTTAATGAAGTGTAGTTTAGACTAGAAGCAGCATGGAATGAGTTGCCCATTTCTAAGCCCAGTTCGACTCCATGCCTAACAGTGTAAGGGCCGTTTTAGCTGTCAGACGTGACAGCTGTTTCTACTAATTTCGCACCCAAACTTCGTACAAATTTAATCATTTTGTCTTCATGCCATACTGTTTACACGCAATAAATATCTTTTTTGTATTTGTTTTTGTTCCTGGTGTCCCAATTTTAATGGCCAGCAGTGTACAAAGCTTCATGAAAAGAATTACTACTTTTTTTAAATTCAGAATAAATACAAATACAAAAAAGTTGTTCACAAATCAATTCCAAATTATGCAAAAGATATAAAACTGCTGATTTCATTTAACATTGCCAAAAACATTTGCTTCTTTTCATGCAATCACCACCACATGAATTTTGCAGAGGTAGAACTGTGCTGATTCACCCATTTTGCTGTGCAATTTCAGCAATTTTCACATGGCATCCTATATCCACATCTACTCTTCTAAATTAACTGAAACAAAAGTTTCTCATATCATTATTAAGTGAGATACAGTCATGTAAACATGGCTACCGATAAAGTTTGTTTATGACACTGTACTTTGTATGAATTCCAATAAAGAAGAAATGTTACAGAAGCATGTCGAAATTTAGTGACAGATTTTGATGGAGATGCAGTTTCAGACAGAACATGTTAGAGATAGTTCGAAAAATTTGAAGCATGTGATTTTGACCTTTGCTGTATATATGGTAGGGCATCCAAGAACCAATACATTATAAGCTTTGTAAACCTAAAGAAAAGTGCAATTCATAGAGGGCAATCATATGGATGATTTAAACAAAGCGGTCAAAGAAAATAGGCTGGTGATATTCAATATCAAGCATAAATTATTAAATATTACTGCATTATAATAATGCTAAACCACATGCTGCTTTCCTGACTTATCAGAAAATCACAGAGCTAGGCTGGAAACTTCTGCCACATTTATCACACTCCTCAGATCTAGCACCCTCCAGTTATCACTTGTGCCTCTCCTTGCAGAATTTTTTTAAAGGAAAATATTCTTAACTGAAACAGATATTAGCTAAGCACTATTTGAGGTCCTTCCTCTTTAGGCACAAGACAGTTTTCAAAAATGGTATCTACATATTACCACCATGTTGCCTAGAGATCATAAGTAATGACAGAAATTATATTGTATAATAAATATTAGTAAAGGTATGAAAAATATATTATTTCTCTTCACTTCCCCAACAGGAAGAATTTTTCGCTAGACCTTGTACTTATTTTCCTGAAGAACATATGTATTTCATATGGCTCTTCAAATTATTGTTGTCTTACATTTGGGTTTGGTGGTGTTCTCTCTATAAAACACAGTAATCTGAGATAAAAACAAAAAATTAATACCTTAAATTAGACAATATTTATTATTCCAGATGTATTTCTCTTACCTTAATGTGGCCTTTTGAACGGCCTATGATGCATCAATACGGTTTGGTTTTCTGAAAGCTACTACAGAACTATGTTATTAACTTGCATTTCCATGCATTTTAATGTCAAGTTTATTTTTGAAATTATGTATACTAATGTTCTCTGAAATTTTATTTTAGGAAATTAAGTACAAAACCACAGAAGAGAAAAATGCAGGTTGTTATTTCTGAATATGACAGTGGCTTGTCAGCTCTAACACATGATTTTGGAAGAAAGCCCAAGAGGAAAAAATCTTAACATTTTTCCGTTATGTATTACTATGTACATATGTTTTATTTATAAGAATTTATTTTTATTATAAAGTGCAAATAACATATTTTAAACATCTTGAAATTTTTTATTGAGAGCTCACTTTTTGCAGACTTTTCATTTCCCAGAAAAAGTGCTTAGTAACTTTAAAATTATTTAAAAAAATCTAAAAGGTAAAATCCTGCACCTATTGCTCCAAAGATAACATTTAATTTAATTATATTCTGTACAATCTTTATTAAATTATATAATATATATATTAAATTTTAGTTTTTTTAACATTCTATTAAGGATTATTATAGTATGTGATTCTGTTAAAATGCAATGGAAAAAGTAATTTTTCAACTTTAGAAATAGTATGCTGGCCAGAAGAAAAAGAGAGCTTTTTTTTTTTTTTTTTTTTTTTTTTTTAATGTTTCAAAAATTGCTACAGTTTTGTGAACAACAGTGTTAGCTTGGAAATATTGCTCAATCAACTTAGATGCTAGTATGCATAAAAGCTTCAGATAGTCAAAATGTAAATTTATTTATTAATTTTAATATTTATATTAAAATGTAATAAATCTTGAATTAGGAAATAATTCAAGGAATTGAATCTTCGTGAATTAGGAAATTTTTTACTCTACCCAATTATTAATCACTTACATTTGTAGATGCAGCACAAAGTATTATTTGCAAGATAAAGAACTGCAGCTAATTTGATGTGAAACAATATCATAAAAGTATGCGAATAAATTTATAACTAACTATTCCATTTCATACTCAAAACAGTCATTAACCCCTTCGCGCCGACTGTCACGTCTACGTGCCAGCAACGAACACACTCAGCTCCCGGCCGACACGCAGGCGTGCCAGAGCATTTTCCCGTTTACTACCGACTGTCACGTATTTGTGCCAGTGTCCTGGAACGTTTTTCAAACTATAATTTCTGCCACAAGATGGCACTGTATGTCCATATGGTTTCAGATACATGTACATTAGACCTTCTACTCGAAATGAGAGAAGCATGACTCACATACACGTGTTTTTGATTATATAAACAAACGGGGAACTAAATGTTTCCAAATGGCGTGATTTATGACGTCTCTTTAAATCGCACTTTATTCGCACGTGGTAGTTGTTTATTGTAAGTAGAAGTTTTATATATAATACGCTAAAGCGTTGAGTATTTCAGTTTGCAGTTCAGTTTTTTAGAAAATAATTAGATCTTGTTAGACGTGAATTCTTTCTGTTTTTACCGTTGCAATGTCGAAGCGTCGAAATGTTTAACAGAGCATGAAATAGCAGAAATGATGCAAAATATTTCAGATATTGATTCTGAAAGATTAACTGAAAGACATTTTCCAAAACTTTGTTCAGAAGAGACTGATAAGAAAATGAGACGACAATGCTTCGTTTGTTCACATTCCCGGAAAAATCCTCCAAAACGACAAATGAGTTATTACGAGTGCAAGGAATGTAACGTAGGACTGTGTGTAGATCTCTGTTATCAAATTTTTCATACGAAAAGTGAATTTTAAGTAATATATTTAGTTTTCGGATGTATAATGTTAAAAGTCATAAAATGGTGAGTAATTAAAATAAAATGTGTAAAATATGCATTTAAACAAGAAATAAGGTAATTAAAGTATATATATATATAAATATTTATAAAGCATAAGCCATTTAAATACTCTATAGAGCATTATTAAACAATGCATTGATACTTCGGAAATTTCATGGATTTAGGTTTAGTAGCAAAAAAGCCCCCGGCCCTGGAGAGACGCTCGCGTAAGACACTGCTGGCCTCCACGATAAGCGCACGTTTTCGCTACCCAGCTCGAAGGGGTTAATGCAGTGAAGTGGGTATAAAGTATTTAAATTACACCGCTACTAACATTTCACCCTTTATGCAAAAAATTTTCAACTGAAATGATATAAATGAAAGTTAAATATCTAAAGAAAATTATACATAAAATCACTCATTCAGGTTAGAAATATACCTGTAAAATCAGGGATGAGGGAACTGAAGATACTATGCTCTGAATAAAGGACTTGTTCCAAGATCTTCACTCAGTTAAATGGCATATGAAGGAACTTTTACATTCTCTTCTGAAATGTCATAAATTATTGTTTATAAAAATTCACATGATATTCATGTGCATTATGTCAGATACTGCAGATTATTACTATTAAATTTATTTAATATTATGCTCAATTTTGAAATTGTGTGTGTAATCAAGTACAATAAAACCTTGATCGTCCAAGCTAATGTGGATTGGGGCCAATTCAGATAACACAGATGGATACAAAGAACATTTTTATAGTGTAGCTTTATTATACATACTATGGGAAGTTTACTAATGTATAGGATTCATGCAGGTACATAGTGATATAAAACATATGTATGTTCAAAGGTACAGATATATATATATCACCATATTGCATAGATGTCGAACATCATAATGTCGGCTGGTGCCTTGCCATCTTGCTATTCAGCATAAAGCAGTGCCTTTTTAATAGCATTCAAGCCATCTGTGCGAACAATCTTGGTTTGAACAATTTTCATGTTATCGTTATTAGAGCCTTCATTGTGCATGACTGAATTTGTAGTAATCTCGCTGTTCAAATTGTTCAGCATCTTACATCCATTAGTCCTTTAGTCATTCACATCCTCATTCGTTAACTGCCTCTGTGACTTGTAGCTGGTTTAAGATAGCCACTAATGCTTGATCATCTGCTTCTCAAGTTTGTGTTGCGATCATTTGGGAAAATATTTTCCCAGCTTTTCAGAATGGTAGATTGTTTCACTTTATTCCAAAATTTTTTCCAACCAGTAAATGACCAGTAACTTTCAAATTAACCTGTTTCAGGTTTTCAACAATTGTTTCATTATTTCATAATAATTGTTTCAAGAGCCTGCATAGATATTTTTGTTTTAGGTCTCTTTAAAACATGTTGCTCCAAAGTTTGAAAGTAAAATTGTAAAGGAGTGTAAAAAAAGGTGTATTAGGCCCAATACAAAACTGAAGCCCAGTTCTTTCCACTAACTAGCTAAAGTAGTGTGAAAACTAAAAACCAACCGATTCTTCACTCAGAGCATGCAAAAATCGAAGTGCTGAGTTCAAATGTGATAGCCATGTGGTTTTTATCTTTACAGTTTGAATTATTGCCAAAACTGAAGTCTACAGATTGTTTACCTTTCGAGTGAGATTATTTTAACAACATTTAAAAAGATAATTTTTATTATATTGGCAGATAACATGGAACCTCGGATAATCAGGGTTCTACTGTATATGCAATTATGACCATTATTGCCGACGTATAGGCATTAGAATTGTTAACAGATCTTTCATTTTTTGATTCACTGTAAAAATTATAATAATGAAAAGCTAGTTCTTCAGCAACTGAACAATTAAAACTGCAGAAAACTAATAGAATTCGACTGTCAGCAGCAAAATATCAGTCATCACTTTATATGTAAAATACAAGTCAGCATCTTGTAAAAAAATCATCTATAGGCAGACAAGCATTCATGGGTTGTGTCGTAATTATTTATTGAATCGATATTAACCTTCTTCTATGCCTGTCAATACCTGAATGCTGATAAGTCATTTAATATTTTGTGTGGGTTTTCAATGGCTGAGTAAGTAGAATGTAAGGTTTTTTTCCCCCATATGTTAAATATAGATATGTAATGATTTCAAATGCATAGATGAAAGCAGTGGAACACTCAACAGCTTACGATACTGCGTAGATGACTGAGAAGACTGCAGTGGCTTGATTGGGAATTCAGATGAATAGTTACCTTTTATATTTTATCCATTCGTTAAACGATGTGAGATTAGTTGAAATAAACTGCACTGAAGTTCCACGTCTGTAGGGTCAAAAATCGGCTGCGCCATATTATTGTAATGAAACTGTGTTTGAAGGTGGCAGAGTGGAAAGCATGATGACGCAATTTAGCACAACATATCTTGAAAAATCACAATCTTTATTTTTTCCATGCATATCAAATCATCCTTTTTCAGACAAGATATTTCTTAATAATATTTGAATAGAATAACTCCCATTTTGAAGTACGAACATCATCAAGTAAGCGGCAGCAGCATGGATGAAAAGCGTCTTACCAGCAGGAGAGCTAACGCGGAAAAGGGAAGGCAAGTTATAGTACTTTCATAGGAAGAAGGCTGGGAAGTTTCAGTTCACAGTTTTGGTTTAGAATTAATTTGATTGGACAAGAGGCATCTGCATTAAAACGTTACATAAGATAGAAAAGTCTGGAACCTGTGAGAAGAGATGAATTTAGGGGCAGATTACCAAATTTAGAATGTTAATTTTGAGGTTGTCAATTATTTTTTTGAAACAGCTATCATATTTTGTTATGTCTTACATATCCCCCCCCTTCAAAAGAAAAGTTGTGTGAGCAGAGTGGAAGAAAAAGCATTAGAGCAGCAAAATGTAGTTATAATTGTGAAAATATAAAACATATTTACTTTTTTTAAACAAAAAATTATTGCCATAAAACTTTGACCGATATTTTGAATCAATTTTGACATTTCACTGAATGTCATAAAATTTTGAATTCAATAATAATTTTAGACGCTGTACTCTTTTAAAACAAATTCACATTTTTTAGTGTTCTGAGATAAGAATGTCCAATGAAATTTTGTAAAGTTCTTGAAAGTTCCACATGGTAAAAGTTCAAATTTTTTCACAAACTAAATGTTCAAATAAAATTCTTTCAAATTTTTGTTGATGAAAATATTTCTATTATATTACAAATTAAAATGCCAATTTTCATATTATTTAATTATGTTTTTCAAGGAAGGCATTTTAAAATATAAAAATTTTGTAAAACATCATTCATAAACACAATTTCAAATTTTCCACTATTATTAAGACATTTTAAAATTTACTTATTCTTTACAAAACTTGAAGACTCCACAACTTTATCTAAATACTAGCATTTCCATCATATTGGTTTATCAGTTGAGCAAACTGGTGTTTAATATTCTTCATCAGTGGCCAAAAGATTTGCCAAATTAGCAGTTACTGTAGTAGAAAAGGCCTCCGTTCCTTCTGTAGAGGCAACTGGCCTTTTTCGAACTGCTGTCATTCCATATGAATATTAAAAACACACTCCATTTAATGAAAAAATAAAAATATCTAGATTAAAAAAAATGTACTTAAGTAAAATGTAAAGCGAGTTATTGCTTTTCATGTAAATTATCCAATTGTTTATGATTTTAGCCTTTACAATAATTTCCCATTTCTATTTCATAAGGCGAGAGCCTTCAACATTTATCATAAAAACATTAAAGAAATTCCTACAACTCAAAATTTTCAAACAATAATTTCATACTTAACATACAGTAAAAATTAAAAAATATAAATTCAAAAAAATTTAACAGGGTTCGTACGGTCCTTAAATTTTTTGGAATCGATTTTTGGTCCTTAAAAGTCCTTAATTTTGGCCAAAATCATCAGAAGGTCCTTAATTTTAATCATCTGAAATTTCTGTCTGTTATTTGAGTGTGAATTAGCATTTTGGAGAAATATTTTTGGCGATTCACTGCTGTATATATGGTAAATCTTTTGAATGGGTTCATGAGTTATAATGTGTTTCTATTTCTAATATAAATGATGGGATACTCGAGTTTCTAAGCAAGAAGTGAAACATAAACATTTCGAAATTCATTTTTTCTAATAAAGAGCTCTTAAACAACTTTTTGCTTTTGAGGGTGTGAATTCTTTTATTAAACGGTTCTAAATTTGGCGACCTTTCAATATTTTGGCGATTTTAAGATAAGTTTCTGTAGAAATTTGTAATTCCGAGATCTGAGAATTTTTCAACGACTTTTTTTTAAAACATCGTAACATTGATAAATTTCATTAAAGTAATGGTAATGTATTGAAATTATATTTAAAAAAGAACATTAAAATAAAACATTTTTATTTTTCACTGTCATATTATAAAGTTTCATTTTAAATCTGAAAAATAAACAAGGTATAATGCTATAAAGCACAATTTACGAAACAGCTCTTAGCAAAAGCAAAATTAGCTATGTAATTAATTAAAAATATCTTATTTTTAATTTTTTCATGGTAAGAGTTTTTCCCGTGTAATTGTCTCAGATTATTCAAAATTCTCAGAATGGGCATCAGTTTTCTCTATAAAATTAATTTTATACTTTTTCCCTCCTCCCCCTTTTTTTTTTTTCAAAATATTTTTGTCGTTACAGAAATGGTAGGGATAATTTTTCTTTAGGATTTTAGACATTGCAGCTTGGAAAGTTTAGAAGGATTTGAAGGCAAGATTTATAGACCCACGATTCTAGAAGATTTGAGAAATATGTGACAAAACGAAAAATGTCTCATGCTATCAACACATAATGGATGTATTTTACAGAAAGTTTTCAATGAATTTCTTACTTTTTGGAGAACGTATGGAAGAACAATGAAAACATAATATTTGAATGTTTTACTTCTGATACTAGGATCTTAACATGTTTATCTTCCTTTTACTTTCTCTACTTTTCACTAGACACAAGCATTGAAAATATCAAAAATGCTTCTAACATGGGAAAAGGCTTTTTTTTTTATTAATAAAGAAATTGAAAACTTACTATTTAAAAGAATCATCTAATATGTCTTAATGCATCATACACATAGCTGGCACTAGGCATTTTCCCACCTGATGCAGTGGATCCTAAATTCTGCTGTCTAGTGCCTTTCTAAATCCTGCTTCCAATGCCTGCTCTAAATTCTGAAAGTTTTGCCATTTCTAGATTTTGTTGTTCGGTCTGTCACTAAATTCTAGAAATTCTGACACATCAGTTCCTTACCATATATATTTCATATTTATTTTGAATTCCATATTACTGAAGAAATATAAAATTAGCCGCTTTTTCTGTACATTCTAAATGCATTTAGTGTTTTTTAGAATAACAGAAATCCTTAATTAAATCCAAAAATTCTAAAATGAAAAGGAAACGTTTTGAAGAAAGAAACTGAATAAGAATAACTGAATACATAAAGAAAATTATTCCTCAAAGATATGTGCAGTTATTATTATGTAAATTATCCAATTGTTTATGATTTTAGCCTTT